CCTCTCTTTCTCGGTACTGTCTCACACATGCCAGGCTTCTGGCTCGAGTGCTTGGGATTTACACACCATGTGTTTCCGCTGTACATGTGAAAACCGGTGGGTCAACAACGTGCTGGTGTCTAGAGACTGACAGGTGTTGGATGAGAGGTGTTGCAGCCAGAGAGCTGTGTGTGTGATTGAGGTGTTGAGACGATTGTTTGGTGAGATAAAAACAGCATCTTTCATTTTAATCTAATTTTTGCAACATTATGTTTCTCAAATTGTCTCTGTTAAAAGTGGTGGGTGGTGGTGGTGATCAGTGTACCATGTAGTTTTGTTCAGAAGTTGCACTGCAGTCATGTGTGACGGGTATCATCCACATTGTGCTTAGGTGGAGGATCTCTAATCAAATGCAGGTCTGGAGGAACAAAGGGCTTCCCTGCTGGGTTAACACATTATCTACAGCTGCAGTGAGAGAAAGAGATAGTTGAGAGAGGGAAGGAGAGGGAAGGAGAGAGTACTGTGAGTGTCCTGTGATTTGTTCAGTTATGATTATCTTTATTTGAAAGGTGTGTTAGGTGTCATTTGAAAGATGTATACGTCTCATTAACACTTAATTCAATTACAACACTTTTCTGAGCTATGTAAGGTGTTTGTTTGGCTATCTAAGCAATTATGTTTGCACACAAACTGTGTGTAGCACAGTGTCCTCGGAGGGGTTCCCTATACCATTAACAAGCTAGTCACCAAGGGACCCTTCGAGAGAGGGGAGAGAAGATCATTGCAAGGTAGAGGATGAGAGGGCTGGGGAGAGAGAGAAGGAGAGCAAGGGACAGCTGTGTCATTTAAACTGCACGCTTTGTGTGAGCTCTCATGTTTCTCCCTTCACTCAGTGAGTGCTGCTCTGTCATCTCCTTTTTTCCTTTCTTACACGGGACAGGACCCTCACTCGCTCACTCTCACTAAAGACAACAACAACCCCCATGTTCACTCTCTTTTTTCTTACCACAGACAAGGCCGTTACCATGGCTAAGGACGCCAGGGAAACTAAGCGTGACAGTCATTTAGAGGTAACCGTATACGAAAGCCCAGGTTAATAGGAAAAAAATAGTGATTTTAGACAAGGCCTTAAAGAGACAGGACTCAGACTAATTCATGATAACCTCGGGAGGATACAAGGAGGCCTTTGTTGGCTTATATTTATACCTCTTTAACTGTCTCTTTAAGAAATGCATGGTGTGGTGATGTAGTGATGGGTTGTACAGTAACTGATATCAAAAGCTTACAGAGGCCTATCTTAGATGTGTGTGATGGTTTAAGGCCTCTGTGTGACCCTGTGTGTGATTTCTGCACTCAATTCCTGCTTTTATCACCTATTGGTATCTACTTTCCTATGGTGAATTAATACATTCTGAAATGATTGAATTGACAGGACAACTGACAGGACAACTGAGTGTTCTACTCTGCTGAAAATGTGTCCTTTCTAGTTTCATGCATGAGTGTGTGAGCACGCCAGGGGCAGTGAGTGCAATATTGGCCGGCTAGCGAAACAGAGCAGAAGCAGTGCAGTATGGGCCGGCCAGCGACACAGAGCAGAAGCAGTGCAGTATGGGCCGGCCAGCGACACAGAGCAGAAGCAGTGCAGTATGGGCCGGCCAGCGACACAGAGCAGAAGCAGTGCAGTATGGGCCAGCCAGCGAAACAGAGCAGAAGCAGTGCAGTATGGGCCGGCCAGCGAAACAGAGCAGAAGCAGTGCAGTATGGGGCGGCCAGCGAAACAGAGCAGAAGCAGTGCAGTATCGGCCGGCCAGTGAAACAGAGCAGAAGCAGTGCAGGACAGGCCCTAATGCTGGGAAAAATAATCCACAGTACAACACTCAATACTTCCTCAGAGGGAGAAACAGACTGACAGACAGAGAGAAATAGGCTGGAGCAGCTCATCAGTTTGCTCAATAACACACTCTAAGACACAGAGGCTGAGCCCAGTAGTCTCTCAGGTTTGGCTCAGTCAGCAGTCTGGGTCAACAGACTAGTACACTGTTGACATCCTGTTGGTAGACTGTCGGTACACTGTTCTGTTGAGGCCTTTGTTTCTCTAAATTGCACCAATGTTAAGAAATGATTAGGTAACACTGATTACATGATTGAATTATACCACAGATAATATGGTAGTTTGGATATGAGGACAGATGATGATTTGCCTGAGGTCTTGGTAGAGGTGATTGATGGCTATTGAATATTTAATATGATTTAAATGGTCAGGAGTTAGAGTCGACCTACAGTATAGTATTTTAATCACTAAGGATAGATGGATGCAGATGCAACTTTTTAACACTACTAACTCAAACTCACACAGCTCCCAGAGGTGGTGTTTGTGACCAGAGAGTGGAAATTAGTTTACTGTATAATTTCCCACAATGCCCTTGTGCAGCAACACACACAGAGTGAAATCCCACACTGGTTGCTACTTATAGCCCTGCAAGGGATAACCGGAGAGCCCAGAAAGCATTTGCCTTCACAGTGGTGTAGAGTAGCCTGGTAACCTTTCCCACTTCAGTTCATCCACGGGATCTCCCACTAACATTCAGACACAAACAAACACTGACATAGATACATTACACACATCTGCTCATACAGATACTCATACTGTATGAATATATACAGTAATCCTGGAAAACACTGACCTCGAGCCACGTGCACACACACACATACATGTATTGAACACACATGTTGAAACACACCTCTCAAACTGGCAGGCAAAAGTATGCAATTACCTGTATGCACAAGTCTAGTGTAAAATAACATTTTAGATTGAATAGTCTTCATTTACCTTGGCATGTGAAATAGCTTTCAACCAGGCCACTCAGTGAGGATAGGAAAGCATTTTAGTGGGAGAAGTGATAACCTCCTTCAGAGTGCTTGACTTGGACTGAAATAGGTGGCGGTACTCATTTTGGGTGCCGGTACTGTTTATAGTTAGGTGCAGGAGCTCCACAATACTATTGAGCTGATATTCTATAAGAGGAACAGGAGCCCAAGCAGTAGACCAATTGAGGTGCCTGTACTCAGCTCCAGTGAGCTCCTGCCCAAGTCAAGCACTGCTCCTTCCACTCTTGAGATACAGTAACAATATAATATCTATGGATAGCATATCGACACTGGTTACCATATCATGTCAACAGCATTCAGGTCAGGAGATCCCTGAGAGACCACTGTCAGACGTTTTATTTTAGACACGGAAATGTTTATCTTATATGACTGGGAGTTTATAACTGACTGGCAAGGAAAGCTAATGAGGAAATAAAGATATAAAGCAAAGGTCCTCTTATCTTCAGTTCAGCACTGTGGCATGGAAACTGCTCGGTCGTCAAGACTCAATCACTACCAACTGAAATCATGCCCTGTCAGTGTCTGCCAGTGAAGTGGTTTACCAGGGTTGTATAGCAGGTAGGTAGTTGCACTATGATTTATGTTTTTGACAGCAGTAATTTACCGATACAATATTTCACGGCTGGATATTGGTCAACAAATCACATAGCCAATACCAACAAAATTATATTTTGCTCTTGTGATGTAATCATTATGTTGTTATAGTAGTAGTAAGCAACCGCCTTGTAGATAAATGAACAGCAAGCTTCCTTGTTCATAAGAGCTGTACCTAAAATAGAAGTACGATTTGTGCAATATAAGGTTAAGATCTCTGAGAGTGTGGTTCTCAAATTAATTTGTAGAGAATAGAAACTAGATGGAAACTGTGATGTGTCCTTGTGCACATTGTCATTGACATTTCCAGAGATAAGCTTCTGTACTCAGGAACCACATTTTGTACTCTGATAAACAGGAAATTAATCTTAATATAATATTATTGCTAAGGATTCTGTAGATATATTGGTTTGGTTTGTTTGTGGGCTACCTGGTGTGCTAGCATTCTGCTACATGGCAGCTCTGAAATGTTCTGTGAACCAAGGTTATTATAGTAAACTAAAACTAAAAAATGAATCATGAAAAGTAAACTAAAATAATAAAAAACTACAACTATACTGAAACTATCTTTGACTCCAAAACTAACTAAAATAAAATAAAAACCATAATTAATTATGTTCAGTTAGAGTTTTATTTCTAAACTTCGGGCAAAAATCTAATGGGGTTTCAAGCTACTGGATCTGGTGGGTAAATCCTGCTAGTAGATGGCCATGTTTCAAAAAGGCCTAGCATGTGCATCACTGTCACTAGCTATCACTAGCTAACAGGGAAAAATGTCTAGGTAGTTAACTTGATTCTTCTTACATGTACTACTTAAGTTAAAAAGTTTCCTTCCACCATATTTACCCAAGGCCATACAGCCATATGGTTCTCATTTCAACAACTGACCACAGTGGGGCCAAACTGTCCCGACACTCAACTTAATAATCACTGCGTGCAATGCGGTTTTGGAAACCTCAGAAATCTTTCATATCACCCCAAAATGATTTTACAAATACAAAAGATACATTTACTGTGCGCCGTTTTAACACAGATTCCCACAGAGGTGTTTTGTGTTACACTTCCTAAGCTAATGGAAACTCGGGAGGGAACAAAAAAAACCTGTCGGCTCAAAACTGTGTTACACAAAAAAACTAAGTTAGAATCTGTGGTAAAACAGCTAACAGTAAGTGTATCTTTTGTATTTGTAAAGTTATTTTGGATGATAATTAAGTTAGGTGTTCAAGGTTTCCAGAACTGTATAGTAATCAAGGATCAATTGTTTCTAGATAGAGCGTTTCACACTTGACAAAATCACTTCAGCTAATCAAATGGGACGTGGATTACTACAATGTAGCATTGGAGTCATGAGAAGTGCTAACCTAACCTATGACCTGACCAATCACCTTATCAAAGATGGTGGATAAATACGTTCGTTTACTCAGGCCGTTTACCATTTAAATGTTTTTTCAATGTTCCGGTCTGTGTAAGTGGGCGTTCCCTCTCTCGCGTGAGCATGCTTTCCCGCATGAGCTCATGGTTCCTCCATAATATCTGGCATGCTCACACGAGAGAGGGAACAGCTGGCTCTGGTCTACTTTGTGTCCTCTCCCCGGTCGCCATACCTGCCCGACCAGAAAAAATTTGCCAGTGAGATGTCTCGCTCTCCAATAAGTAGACCAGTGTGGCCCCGCCCCGATCAGAAGAAATGAGGGAGTCGAATGTCTCGCTTTCTCTTCTGTCTTTGACCTTAAGTATAGTTGCAAGAAGTGACAAGACAAACCCAAAAACAAACAAAAAACGATATAACCCAAATGACTCATAGGCTCCCACGCATGCATTCTGTCGCTAACACTAAACCTAAAACTGAAACAAAATAATATAAAAAACAAAATAAAAAAGGACTGAAAACTCACTGAAACTAAACTGAATTTAAAATCGAAAAAACTAATAGAAATAAAAACACAAAACTATAATAACCTTACTGTTGACTAGGTGCTCCCTACACTTTAATAAGATATCTGTTGGTCATCTAAATTGCTGCTCAGATGAAACACCATCTGACAAGGTCACAGAGACAGGACGAGGAGGCAGTCATGATGAGCTTCACCGCCATTGTTTCTGCATTTGTAGTAAACTTCTGGTTATGCGATTATATAGCTGGGATTTTCAAGGTTGATTTGTAATGAGTCATTGTGGTGGTGAAAACTCTGCTCCATACCACCCAGCTGTTTGAGTGAAGTTGGCATAAAAACTCTTTTTGGGGACAATTTATGAATCAGTTTGGCACAAGCCACGATAGAGGAGTATTTATGTGATGAAGGAGCATGTACAAACGTCAGTGATAAATCACATCTATGTGGATAAATCACATCTATGTGGAATTAGACAACCTGGAACCTCAAAAGTCCACAGCACACCATGCTGTGTAGATAACATGAACAGTATTGAACTGTCTAAAGTTGCTTTGGATAAGAGTATTTGTGAGGCCTTGAGTATCTGTTCAAGTGAAACAAATGTATGTTTGCATATGAGAGAGAGAGAGAGAGAGAGAGAGACAGTCATTCAATGAGTGAGTGATTTCCTGAATGACTCCCAAGGGTGCAGTCAGGTCAGAATGATTCAGCCTTTTTATGATCAGAATGTTGGTTTTCCTCCATGTCCTTCTGACTGTTGCTACTTTATTTAGCACATTCTGTTATTCAAGGTAAGTATTATCAACCGAGCCAAGGTTTTCTCTTCACCTAATCTGCTGTGGAGTTATTTTGTATACTTACACACACACACACACACACACACACACACACACACACACACACACACACACACACACACACACACACACACACACACACTACGGCCCACTCATTTAGATGTAATTATACAGTCCACGGATGTGATAATAAAGAGAGATAAGGTGATAGTGTGTGGCTTTGGTTATCATTTCTCTTTCTGCCTGCAGAGAGGCGACGACAGGGCAAATTCCAGCCATTCAGACGTCTGTTTGGGAAGAGGAATAAGGACGCAGCAGAGCGGGACTTTGATACAGCAGAGCTGAAGGCTAGCTTCTCCACAGGGGAAGTGTCTAACGAAGTCGTCTCAGATGATGAGGAGACCAATCAACATCTGAGGTAAACGGGACATCTACGTATTCTGTTTGATATTATGAGAAATACTCCAGTAGTCCAGGTTGCATTTATACACTGTTCATAATGTTGTCATGAGGTCATGCAGTTGAGTTGGATCTACATTGCCGTTTTCCCCCTATTGCTTGTACAGGTCCCCATCTCAAAATGAAACAAGCTCTGAACACAGGTCTTATCAATAACTTAGTCTGCATGGCCTTGAGCACATTATGTCTTTAATCCCTTCCAGTAAGCCACACCCAGACCACAGAGAACGCCTATAATACTATTTCCACTAAGACCCAACATGGATACCACATATATTATCATGTGGCTTCTTGTTTGGCATGCAATGTGTCTGGTTATCTATTTTTCGAGTCAGCAGAGTCGACTGAATCTATCTGGTGAGAAAAGGGGGCAGTTCAGTTGAAATGTGTTCTATAAACTGCTTGACTGACTTTTAGCTTTTAATTGGTGGAGTGTGAAAGGGTTTCGGTTTGTGCAAATGAATTTACTCAGGGATACTACATCTTGTCAGGAATTAATGAGTGACTGACTGTAATAGCATGCTATAGCTGTAGCGCCCGTTATGTCTTTGCAGGAAGCTGAACCCCATTGGGTCCCGAGCCCTCTCCTACGACAGTGTGTTTATCCCAGAGGAAGCAGTACAGGAGCCCAGCCCAGAACAGACCATGTCCCAGGAAAACGTCTCTGATAAAGTCAGGAACCTGCAGGTGGGCCTTAAACACGCACACACACACACATTCAGATGTATGTTCACAGTCTTGGTTGATGCCTCTAATTACCATGTACTCGTAAGTCAACAGTTGCTCCCAGATAACATACACTTTAATGTTACTGCTGTCTTCAATGTCTAACACCAAACCCAAAATGTGTGTGTGTGTGTCGAATATGCAGAGGCAGATAGCACAGAATATCAAGTTTGGCCAGAGGCCCCCCTCTCTGAGGAAGAGTGAGGGAGACGAGGGCAGCTCGGATGAAGAGGAGGTGCCCAGGAGCCATCTGAGTGTCTTAGCCCAGGTGGAGGTTGAGCCAGTGGACACAGAGCCAAAGGTAATAGCAGATCATTAACTGCATAATCTTTGGTTCACTGTTAGCTTATAATGCTACAGTAGTAACTCAAAGAATTTGTGTTGGAAATATAGGAAGAAAATGAAAATGTTCTGTTTTCATGACAACCAGGGGGCCAGTCAGGACCAAGAGGCCGGTGAGAGCCATGGAGCTCCCCAGGCTGAAGCCCCCAGCACTCCAGTGAAATCTCCCAGGTCCAAACAACTTCTTCCAGCCATCGGCACCATTGAGTCTATCGACCTGGATGGAGTCTCACAGTCTGTCCCTCGGCTGGACAACACCGCTGCCAAGCATAAGCTGTCTGTCAAACCCAAAAACCAGAGGATCTCCCGCAAGCACCGCCGGTACACACAGGTGAGAGGGGTCATGGTCCTTACAGTTGGTGGTCTTTCTTTGGTATGAATGTACATACATAGAATTGTCATATAGACTGAATATAGTGAGATAAAGCTCAACAATAGAAATCAAAATACATTATTTTTTTCAGGATCTGCAAGAGGTGGATATCCCTGGCATACAGCAGGAGGAGAAAGATGCAGCAGACAGCCAACACAGGACCACTGAGGAGGAGACACCCCCAGAGAAAACCAAGAAGCAGAATCTGCAGGAGGAGGAGAGACGGGAGTCCAGGAGAAAGAGAGACCTGGCGGAACAGAGGCACAGAGTGGAGGAGGAGGATAGAAAGAAGAAAGTAGAGGAGTGGAGGCTGCGTGAGTTAGAGGAGGAGCGATGTCGCAAACAAGAGGAGGGACGTATACTTAAAGATGAGGAGGAAAGGAGGCAGAGAGAGGAGATGGAGAGGAGGATGAAAGAAGAAGAGGAGAGGATACAGAGAGAGGAGATGGAGAGGAGGATGAAAGAAGAAGAGCAGAGGAGACAGAGAGAGGAGTTGGAGAGGAGGATGAAAGAAGAAGAGGAGAGGATACAGAGAGAGGAGATGGAGAGGAGGATGAAAGAAGAAGAGCAGAGGATACAGAGAGAGGAGATGGAGAGGAGGATGAAAGAAGAAGAGGAAAGGAGCCAGAGAGAGGAGATGGAGAGGAGGATGAAAGAAGAAGAGGAGAGGATACAGAGAGAGGAGATGGAGAGGAGGATGAAAGAAGAAGAGCAGAGGATACAGAGAGAGGAGTTGGAGAGGAGGATGAAAGAAGAAGAGGAGAGGATACAGAGAGAGGAGATGGAGAGGAGGATGAAAGAAGAAGAGCAGAGGATACAGAGAGAGGAGATGGAGAGGAGGATGAAAGAAGAAGAGGAGAGGATACAGAGAGAAGAAGAAAGAAGGATGAGGGAGGAATTGGAGCTTATGCAGCGAGAGGAGAAGGAAAGGACACTGGTGGAAGAGAAAAAGAAGAAAGAGGAAAGAAGTAGAAAAGAAGAAGAGGAGAGGAAGCAGTGTGAACTGGAGGCAGAGCGTCTCCGTGTAGATGAGGAAAAGAGACTGAAAGAGGCAGAAGAAGAGGAGGAGAGAATGAAAAAGCAGGTGAAGGAAAAGAGAAAACTGCTTGGAGAGGAGGAGAGGAAGAAAAAGGAGAAGGAGGAGGAGAAGAGTCTGTGTGCAGAAGCGGCTGCGAGCAGCTCTGACCCTGAGAGGAAGAGGAGGGCGGAGGAGGTGCGCTGGAGAGAGATGGAGAAGAGACAGAGGCCGTTCACCTTCAAAGTGTCCTCTGGGGAGAAGCAGATCCTGTTCCAGAAGGTCGACCTGACGCCTGTTATACTGGCCTCCAGTCAGCAGGGGAGCACTGTGGCTGAACACAGAGAGAGAGCCAAGGCCTCATCGCCTGGAGGAGCTGACTCCCCCACCCTCCCATCCTCTCATCATGTCCCCCACACAGCCATCCTGGTGACAGGTGGCCAGCTATGTGGCACTGCTGTCAACCTGGACCATATCAAAGAAATCGCTTGTAAGTCTATCCTGGGTCTGGCAGATGAAAAGAAAGCTGCCATGGGCATCCCACCACCAACCAAGACCAAGACCTCACCAGACCGCAAGTCTGGGAAAACAAAATCCCTCAGCGAGTCCACAGACCAGTCCAGTGCAGCCGTCCTTGCAGAGTGGGCCAGTATCCGCTGCAAGATATTCAAGGGGGCGGAGGAGGGGAAGTATGAGGAATACCCAGACCCCCAGAGCCAAAGCCGACCCAGCAGTGAGGACCAGAGTCCGTTCCCCCATACCAACCTCAGGAAGACCATGTCCACCAGCGCCAAGTTCTCCATCACCCCGGCCAGGAAGAAGTTTGCCAACTCCAACAGGAACTCTGAGGTGTTGAATCTGGAAGAGAAGGAAGGAGGAAGCCCAACCTCTACTCTCTCCAACACCTCCTCCAGCGCCTCTATTCCCCCTGCAGTCTCACCAGCCCCAGGCAGCAAGGCCCAGAGCAGGGGTGGTAAGTATGTCCGGATTTCAGACGGAACAGGGGAGTGCATGTTTGCCAAAGACCTCCCTTCATTCATAGTCCCCAGCTCTTCCCAGTGCTCCCCCAGACCTGAGGACTCAGAGACAGATGCTGAGAGCCTGGGAGGAGAATCAGAGGACTCTGACGGCCGGGAGGAACAGGGGGAGAAGGGCCAGCCCTCTCCGTTTGGGATCAAGCTGAGGAGGACCAACTACTCCCTCCGCTTCCACAGTGATCAGTCAACAGACAAGAGGAAAAAGAGGTACAGCGCCGGTGACAGCTTCAATGGGGTCCCCTCACCTCTGACCCCCATTGACCCTGACGCCTCAGTTTTCTCTGATCGATCCAGCCCTGCATCTCCACTCAGAGAGAGCATTCCTGGGGTAAAGCCTGGACATATGGTTGTATCTCTGCCAGAGCCCAGGGCCAAAGCAGGCAAGTCTCCCACCCCTTCCATACACAGTGAGGAGAAGCCGTCCAAACCCTCACTCTACCAAAGACCGAGCACATCCCCTAAACCTGCCACCCCTCCCCCCTCTCCACTCCCCAAAGTGGGCAGAGGGGGTCCAAGCGATGCAGTGGTCCAGAGGACGAGGGTGGGGGCTAATTCAGCTGGCCATGAGGAGCGAGTTGAGAGGACGGAGGAAACCTCAGCTGTGGCCCAGCTCCACAGGAACGGCCAGGGACAGGGTCAATGGGGTCAGGAGGAGGAGGAGCCCAAGGAGAAGAGGTCCTTCTTCCCCTCCATCAGTATCCCCTGGAGGGAGCAGGCTGACAGTAAAACAGAGCTCATCAGGAAAGGTTAGTGTCACCTTGGGAAGCGCATATGCTGCAAGTGCTCCAATCTCCATGACAGATATTTGCGAGTAGGGATGTCACACCTGCATTTTAATTACTTGAGTGATTTTGTGTATATGATGTCAAGTATATGATGATTGTCTCGTCTCACCACTTACAGAGGGGAAGCCATCGCTGCAAAGCAGGCACTCGTTGGACAGCGTGCCGGTCCAGGACAAGGAGGCGGGGCCTCCGTGGATCACGCTGGCGCTGCAGAAACAGAAGGGCTTCAGGGAGCAGCAGCAGAGCCGAGACGAACGCTGCAGCAATAGAGAAGCCAAACTGGCCGAGAAACAGGCCAAGGACAAAGACAGCGTATGTTGCTGCACTTTAACACACATTACTGTCCTTACCTTCATACACTCACGATTATGCTTATGCAGAGATAGAAATGCATTCAGGGCAGTAGGAGAGACTGGGACAGTCCGCTAAAAGGTACCTGTGTTTCACAGTGTGTGTTGGTTAGTCCTTCAGAGGGTAAGGGGAGTGGAAACACCAGCCCTCCCAAACCACAGACACCGCAAGAGGCCAAGAGACCAGACTCCCTCCTGGGCTGCTTCGAGCGCCGGGACCACCTGAAGAAAGCCAACACCCTGCCCAGTACTGTCACAGGTAAGAGCTTTCATATTCACAACTATTTGTCATCACACTTTCCCAAGATCACATCAAACATTTAGGATATCTCACATATGAAACATGATTATATTACATCTGGATCATCATAATCAAACCAATCTGTTATCAAACTTGTGTGGATTACTACACTTTTATGGTGTCCTCAGCATGCATTATAACCCTTTCTCTCTGGGTCTTGTGTTCCAGTTGAGATTGCAGACTCCACACCATCGCCCCCTGCAGTGAAGGAGGTGACCAAGCGCTTCCTGTCCACTGACTCTCCCCAGGTGTCCACTGAGCCGGCCTGGCTAGCTCTGGCCAAGCGCAAGGCCAAGGCCTGGAGTGACTGCCCTCAGATCATCAAATAACCTCCTCTCTAACCTCTACACTGCATCAGTACTGTACACACACTGCCCATGAACTATGACCCCTGTCCCAATCCATCCCAACCTCTCCTCTCTGCCCCTGCACTCTAACCTCAACCCAAGTCTCCCCCTATTTCACCATAACCATGTACTTGTATGATTAGTATGATTAAAAGTGTTTCACATTCATAATATAAACACAGTCACACATTTACAAACACGAACACTCAGTACAAGCATGCACTTATATGAACACCTGAAAACACAAGCTACATTTTTTTTAAAGATTACCTGGCTGTATGCTATCAACTATACATTTACATTTTAGTCATTTAGCAGATGTTCTTATCCGGAGCGACTTACAGTTAGTGAATGCATTCATGTTTTTTTTTTTTTTTTTTAATACTGGCCCCCCGTGGGAAACTAACCCACATCCCTGCCGGCCAAACCATCCCCTACCTTGGACGACGCTGGACCAATTGTGCGCCGCCCATGGGTCTCCCGGTCGCGGCCGGCTGCGACAGAGCCTGGACTCGAACCAGGATCTCTAGTGGCACAGCTAGCACTGCGATGTAGTATACAATATCTTCCAACAACTCAAAAGATCCTACAGTAGCCAATCATGGCCACTGCTGGCCATTGCAATAGCCAATCCCAACCCTTACTTCTCTTCAGTAGCCAATCAAAGCACCACAGCTGTAAATAGATAATGTGTTTAACATAATACAAGATAAAAATGCTTATGTATTGCAAAGATCAATCCCACAGGTCTGAAAAAGGATATAGATTATTCATTCAAGGGTGCTTTGGGAACAGTGTTTTAAGGGCTACCAGTAACCAATAACCCAACATGACAGATGATCACCGTGTTTCGTCCTTAAAACAACAATAGTTATGTTACCTTATCTTGTGGGTATTATTTCAAGCACTGGTTTTAACAATGTTGAAACAATATATTTGTAATCTCTGAGCCTTGTCTGCGATGTACAAAAGCTTATTTTTTACTTGTATTCAAAAGCAGTACTTAGTATAACTATTCTCACTGTGCCCGTGATGACTGTGACAGCTGTCTAAGATGCTATATTGTAAAAAAATATATATCAAAAAAATGCCATGACGAAGTTATTTGAATCTCACCGCAGTTTGTAAAATAACACTAAAATCTGTCATAATCAAATGTCAACTGCACTGAAACACAGCACTGAAGACCAATGTTGGGCAGTTGTGAACAGTATTCTCAACACTAATAATGTGTCCTGGATTTTGCTTAGCTATGGCAAGAGGCTACCTGCCTGCTGTAACATCCCATGTGCTCAAGTCACCACTAATGTGATGATCCATAATAAGGCCTTTACATGGTCCTCCAGCATTTGGAAAGTCACATTCTCTGAATCCCATCATGGGACAAGTTAAGCTACATCACATCCTCTTAATTTACCTCAATGTGATTTGAACCAATCAGCCCTGCTGTGAGAACCTCTGCTGGGCTGTCTGTTGGTGACTGACATCATATGGATATTTCTGCCAGCATTCTTCCTCTCACTACTCAATGTAATGATCTGTATGGATGTAAGTATGTATGTATGTATGTATGTTAGAGGCGGTTTTACCAGGACATTGGTCAGAAAGAAGCCCCTAAGGCTCAGTCACTTTGTCATTATTATTTTGTTTACCTTTGGTCGTGTGCAATAGTGTAGTGTACACAGTGTTGTATGGAAGACATTATTTGGGTAATAATTGCACTTTTTTGTCCCACTTAAAAGGTATTCATGAGAACATCTTAAAGTGATGCAAATGTTATGAATTATAAATTAAATACTGATGTCTGAACTCAAAGCCTCAAGTCATATTCCTCCTCCAAATTAGTATCAATACTTACATTTGTTTCCTATATTATTCTTTAATATTATAATATAGTACAAAAATACATGATGTCATCTCAGGAATCTATTTGAGCTCATCTATCGGCTCCACACAGTACACAAAGTCATTGCGTCATCCGACCACCAGGAGCGCTGCCACACCACAGGAGAGGAGAAGAGCCCCCTGGGCAGAGAGAGAGGCTCTCAGAGTTCCATTCTTTCCTGCCAGAACACACAGGGTCCCATCTGTGGAGACCACGTCCACCAATGTACCCTCCAAACCCCAGGCTGACCCCTCAAACACACATGGGCTGGAGTACACCCTCTGGTAGCACAATTCAGACAGTACACACACCCGTCATGTGACCCACACACAACGCTCTGCTTGTCTGGTGTGATGCAGGGGGATGAGAAGACTAGTCACTTGGTCACATACTGCCACAGCTGCAGAAAACACACAGTATTAAAGATGAAACACATAAGTGAGCAATATCAATTGTTACTTGGTGAAAATGAAGATGTTAAAGAGAAAGACTAAATGGACATTATATTAGTGCCTGTTCTTCCTCTCACCATTTTCCTGTGTGGCTGAGGCAGCAGATGTTTCCATTCACAGAGCCGATGATTATGTTTCCAATGGAGCAGCTTGGGATGGAGAAAAACGTAGTCTTCCTGGAATACATCCACAGGACAATACCAGTGTCCTGAAACAGAAAAAGAGTTTGAATCTTTTCTCATTCACTCATAAGTGCAAGCATCTGTGATTTTTGCAGCCAAGGAGGCATGGACACTCACAGGATGGAGACAGAGGAAGTTTCACCAAGGGTGGTGACACAATGCTGTTAGAGAGGGATGGAGACAGGGTGAGGAGAACACCAATCCACTCCCACAGTGGTGCTTCCACACACACTGCCAAACCTAGAATACACACACACAATTATACAGTGTTGAGCATGTGATGCAAGATTTACACTTGAAAGAAAGGTATGCACACACACACACACACACACCTGTGAGTCGAGGGCATAGACGTGGCCATCCACAGTAGGACAGCTCTTCACAGCATCTCCAGTCTCAAACACCCACTGTGTCTTCCCAGACTCCAAACACAGGAAACACACACAACCATCATAGCACCCTGAGATTAAACACAGTTAACACACAGTATATATCCTCAATATACACTGTAGAATAGACATAGAATAGAAAACAAAATTAAACATAACCAAATAACAGATGCTTTATGTGGATACAGACCAACCACGATGAGTCTTCCACATCCGGACACAGCAGCAGAGGACTCGATCCTGTCCCGAGACCCTCTCCCACAGCAGCCCCCCGGTGGCCAGGTCCAGGGCCTGCATCCTGTGGGAATGGGAGCCAATGAACAGGACTGGAGAGGCGTCCACAAACCTCTCTGTGTCTGACTGCCAGCTCCCCCTCAGCCCCAGACCACTAGCCTCTCTAAGGGGAGGGATAACACTGCTAGCACTGGGCTCATTGGTTTCCACTGCCTAGGAATGGTTGTGTTCTGTCCTCTTATTGGACCCAAATGTCTGGGAATGGCTGGATTATGTGCTCTTATTGGCTCCTTTGTCCTGTGTGAGTGTATTTCTTGTTCTTATGATTGGTCCCTCTGAGTCTGAGTTTTCATTGGTCCTCAAAGGGTCTGAATGACCCATCTCTACAAGCTCCCCTGGTCTCTTTACCACTGTACATCTTACAGCCTTCTTCACAGAATAAACGACAACTCCCAGTGGCGTCTCCACAGCTGTCTCTTGGGCTGTGCTGAGGAGACAGGGTCTGCTGGATGTTTCTTGGCCACAGGACGGGACGTCCAGCTGTGCTCTAACTGGAGAGTCAGTGTTTCTGTGGCAACATGGTACAGGACGTCTGAGAAGGATCCGTCCAGTATAACCTCCAGAAGCCCAGATGAAGTCCCTCCTACGGCGGTGGTGGTGTCATCACAGAGACGCAGGGCTTGCAATGAGTCGCCTCCACTAAACTAAAGTTGGAGTCCTCCTGGATGGTCTCATCCTCCGCCTGACCTAAAGTCTCCTGATATACACAAATATAAATGTACAAATATGTAAACTCTTGATGTAAAAGGGATACTGACTTGTATGTGACAATAATAAAACGATTAGTTACCGGAGTGTAACTCCAGTTCTATGAGTGGAGCGGAGCCCCATAGGGGAGCTCTGCTCCTAGTGGTTTACCCTCTGCCCTAAGGCAGCAACAGCCTGAAGCAAATTTATGCACACACCTGCAGCCAATGGGAGCACAGGTGTCCCTATAAGAGGGGACACATCCCCTCAATCAGCCTCCCGAGACATTATCTTCAGCGAGACTAGAGAGGGTCGGCAGGGCCTTAAGTCCTATGGGGCTCCGCTCCACTCATAGAACTGGAGTTACACTCCGGTAACTAATCGTTCTATATCGTGGAGCTCCGCCCCATAGGGGAGCTCTGCTCCTAGTGGTTTAAGGCGGAGCGTAGCGCTCCAAAATGTACTCCCTGCCGAGCCTAACACTTCCCATTAAAAAATGAAAAGGTCAAGCCTAGCAATGGCCGCAACCAATTCCCGCAGTACTGCAACTAAAAACCCCTCCGGGCGTCACAATATACCGCGTCATCGGTTAAAGACCCGCCCCATCTAGTTCAATGGCAATGCCAATGACTAGTGGGCAGATCATCAGAATAGAAGCTACACTAATCTGTACTAGCAGATAGATGTGCCTCAATATCCTGTGAAAACACTACCGACCACTAACGGAATGACACCAAGTGTCACTCTACATTATGTGCCCAGTAGACCACCTCACTCACTCAATGGAACCCAGAGATTAGTAGGCAGGAACAAAATATAAGTCATACTAAACTGAACCATCAGATAGATGACCTCACATTCTGTCAATTCAATACATGTCTCTACTATACTGACCCTGTCAGTCAAGAGACATGCCACAAGATATGCTTTCCATCCAAAGCGGACCTGATAGAGACCTGTGTCCATCGTCCTGCTTCTCTCTCCTCCAGCTCAAGATTCCCCTTCAGCTATGCTGAGTACAATCGAGCCAGAGAGCTAGAAAGCCTATCTATCAACAAACATGTTTTCCTAACCAAAGCGGACCTGATTGGAACCTGCCCATAGTCCTGCTTCATCCTCTCTTCCTGGTTCAAAATCTCCTTTCAGCCTTGCTGAGTACAGACCGAGCCAAAGAGTTAGAAAACATGTCTGTCCATAATATGTCTTCCTAACAAAAGCGGACCCGATGAACACCCATGTCCACAGTCCTGCTTTTTTCCTCTCCTTCTTGCTCAAGATCTCCTTTCAGCCACGCTGAGTACAGATCGAGCCAAAGAGTTAGAAGGCATATCTAATAGATAGAAACGGATAAATGGAGACGGCGTCGACCATGACGCTGCTCTACAAATATCCTCTACCCCTGTTCCTATGAAGAGGGCAGTAGAAGCTGCTACTCCACGAGTGGAGTGAGCTCTGATACCCTGAGGCAGTTGTCGCCCCGCTGCCTCGTAAGCTGTCTCAATACCTTCACAAAGCCAATGAGACAATCGCTGTTTTGAAAGTGGTCTACCTAATGCAGCCGCACCGTGACACACAAACAGCTGAGGCGATGACCTAATCGCTGCTGTGCGCTCAACGTAACACGCCAAAGCGCGCACTGGGCACAGACAATGAAGCTTTTCCTCACTCCTCTCCCCATGAGGAGGGGGAGAAAAAGCCCACAACTCCACGGTCTGTGATCTATATGCACTGCTAATAACCTTCGGCACAAACGCCGGGTCAGGACGTAACACCGCTCTGCTCAGATCGCCATTAATGGCAAGGCAGTCGGGTCTCGTCGACAGGGCGAGCAACAGTGCCGTCTTGATATACAACATCTTGAGGGGTATTTGATTCAATGGCTCGAACGGCGACTTACATAGCGCTTCGAGAACCAAGGCCAAATCCCACTGGGGCAGCGTGGCTCTAGGCATTGGCCTAAGCCGCCGCGTTCCCAATAAAAAACTTTTCACTAACGGGTGGCTGAACACGTTTGTTCCGTCAAACCCCTCATGACCAGCTGAAATTGCCGCTGCAAACACCCAAATGGTGGAGGGCGATTTCTGCTTATCAAACATAAACTGCAGAAAAGAGAGCACACTCTCCACCTGACAGTTCATGGGGTCCACACCCTGTGTGTCACACCATCGTGAAAAAACGTTCCATCTGCTGGTATACATCCTAGAAGTGGAACCGGCTCGTGCACCTTGTATGGTTCTGATCACTGCATCAGATAACCCACGGCGCCTCAACCAGTCCCATTCAGGAGCCAAGCCTTCAGTGGTTGGCCGATTATGGGCCACTGCCCTATCGAGCCTCCCGCCTGGGTCAACGCGTCTCGTCGATGTGGAATTGGCCAAGGTGGCGCAATCAACATCTGACTCATCTCCGCAAACCACGGAGCCCCCGGGCGATCGGGCGCTATCAGTATCACTGACAGCTCCTCTGACCTCACCCTGGCTAGCAGTGGGAGAATGCAAGACAGCGGAGGGAATGCATACAGGAGAACTTTCGGCCACGGGTAGTGCGCGAATGCGTCTCTCCCCAGTGGTGGCTCGTCCTGTTCCCTCAGAGAGAACTATAGGGGACATTGCGCGTTCACGCGTGACACGAACAGATCCACCTCGGCTCTCCCGAACTGTTCCCAAATTTGGAGAACAATGTCCGGATGCATACACCACTCGTCGTCTCGAGGACCCCCTCTTGACATGAGGTCTGCTCCTACGTTCAAGTAGCCCGGAATGTGTGCTGCTCTCAACGAGCGAAGGTGCTTGTGAGCCCACAGCCACAATTCCTCTGCCGCCCGGTGGAGGGCAGGTGACCTGACCCCTCCCTGGCGATTTATGTGGGCCACTGTGGTCCGGTTGTCTGACCAGACCAGCACATCGCGACCCCGAAGGGTAGGCGCGAAGTGGGTCAAAACCAGTCGAACCGTTTCCAACTCCAAGAGGTTTATGTGACGACCTGATTGAGGCCATACACCTCCTATCGCTTGAGTCTGACATGTCCCTCCCCATCCAGTCAGAGAAGCATCTGTAAATACTGGAATGTAGGATGACACCTTGCCCATCGGGACTCCGTGCGTGAGAACGCTCGGGTTCCTCCAATAGTCCAGGTCTGCTCTTAGCGAGAGAGGAACCACCACCAACCGATGACGTTGACGCACTGGGTCTAGTCTTAGTTGGGCGAACCATCGCTGTATTCTGCGCATGTGCAGAAGTCCCAGCGGGACCACAGAGTGGGCTGACGACATGAGACCCAAAAGTGACATGATCGATAGCGCCGTCACTGTGTGATTCGGACGGCACTTCCTCAGGGCTAGCAACAATGCTACCCTTCGAGGGTCCGAGATTCGAGCCCTCATCATTACAGTGTCTAGCTGTAGCCCCAGGTAGACAATCTGATGACTGGGCCAGGGTGTACTCTTTTTCCAATTCACAGCGAACCCCAGACGCGTGAGATGAATCACTGTCTGTGTTGTGTGAGTGAACGCCAGCTCTGCTGACGGGGCGAGAACCAGCAGGTCGTCTAGGTAGGCTAATAGCCTTATCCCTTGACGACGTAGCGGCTCCAATGCCGCCTCCACACATTTGGAAAACGTTCGAGGTGCCAGGGCGTACCCGAATGGCATCCTCGTGAACTCGTACGCCACCCCTTGAAAGGCGAACCGCAGAAACTTCCTGTGACGCGATTGTATCGGCACATGGAAGTACGCGTCCTTTAGGTCTATGCTTGTACAAAAGTCTCCTTTCTGGACACATTCCAGTAGACGTTTTGTCGTCAGCATTCGGAAGGGTCGTTTGGTTATGCTCTCGTTGAGAGTGCGTAAATCCAAAATCGGCCTCACTCCCCCCGTCTTTTTGGGCACTAGGAAATAAGGCGAATACAACCCTTTGTTCCTTTGCTCCCGGGGAACTACTGTGACCGCCTCCTTCGCCAAAAGTTCCGTAATCTCTGACATCAGAGCGGCTACTTTGTCCGGCGTTTTCATCACCGTCTCCACCACTCCCCTGAACGGGGGTGGGGTTCGATGGAATTGGAGGGCATAACCCTTCTGCAACGTCTGTTCTAGCCAGCGTGAGAGGGTACAGCTTCGTTGCCACTGCCAGCAATGCAGAGAAAGCGGGCGCGCACGAAGCTGTGGTGCATCCAGTAGGAAGGACCTGTATTCCTCTATGTCCCTCGCCGCCGCTATTCCCCAGCACTGGGTTGGTGGAATAGCCCAAGGCGGGCCCCCCTCGAAAGGGAGAGGAAACATCAGCTCGTTCTGAGGGAATCGGAGGCCTTGATACGTCAGTTACATCCGTAACTCTAGTATTCCGGCCCTCCGTGAACGCAGCACGGTTTTGAGCTGCACTGACTGAGGTATTAACCTGAGGCAGAGCGCCCTCCCCGGATAGCAATTGCGTCATCATGTCATTGTCTGACTGAGACTGCTGCTTGTCATGAGATCCGTCCACTGCAGTACTCAACAGAGTCTGGAAAGTGTGGTCTCTAACTGGTACCACAAGGTGGCGCCACAATACCTCTTTTTCACTGGTCTCGTGAAGCTGCTCAACAGCACACTCTGGGTGTGGTGAGCTGCACTCAGAGTAATGGGCATTGTTACGTTCTGAATTAGCCGGGGGCGCCCATACATTGGTTACACCTGTAACTCTAGTATTCCCGCCCTCCGTGAACGTCGCACGGGTCTGAACTGCGCTGGCTGAGGCGTTAGCCTGAAGCAAGGCGTCATTCCCAGCTAGCGGCTGCGTCTTCATGTCATATTTAGACTGAGACGGCTGCCTGCTATGTGAGACCTTTACTACAGAGCTCCTAGGAGTCTGTAGTAAAATATCTTTATTAGGTGAGCTAAGGCTACGCCTTGCTACCTTTTTCTCTTTCCTCTCCTGAGTGTGTTCAACTACGCACCCTTGGTGGGTTGAGCTACACTCAGGATGGTGAGAGAAATTCATAGGACGTGAAGTACTCTGCAATGTGTCATGGAAGACAGGCCCTTTTGTGACAATGTCAGTGAGAGCCAGCTCTTTATTCACACAACAACAATAAACATTTCCCTCCATGCCCTGAACAGTAGGGTGGGGGGGAACAGTGGGCTCTGTCGCGTCTTGCGCCGAGCCGTCATCCGTCCTCTCCCCCTCGTCTCGTCATTGGTGCCGTCTTTTCTGGCTGACCTTCTGGTGTTGCCAGGACAGTTTCGTGACGACCTCTCTCGCCTGCGGAATCGTCGCCACCACCGTCGTCGCTGGAGGGGCCGAGCCCGCTCGCCTGCTGTCGGTGGTAGGCGCCTGTCGCCTGGCCCGTCGCCTCCCTGTAGTTCTACTGGGGGCGTTGGAGGTTGACGGTTTGGTTGAGGCCCTGCTAAACTTGCCTGCCAATGGCAGGTGTTTAGCCAGGTGCTTTTTCTCCTCGTCCAGCTTACCAAAGCGTTCCGTCGCCTCTTTAACGGTGACCCCAAAGAGGCCCTCGCTAGAGACGGGAGCGTTTAGTAGCGAGGCCCTGTCCGTCTCCTTCATGGCTGTCATTGACAGCCAGAGGTGACGTTCCATGACCACCGAGGTGGCCATGGACCGGCCTGCGCATATCGCTGACGCCTGTGTCAAGTGAAGAATAGCGCCAGAAATCCTGGACGCCTCTTCAATCTCATCGCTGGTCAACTCTGACCTACCCGTTGTTAGACGGGATAGGGAGGCCGCGAGGAGGGCGATGTTGTTAGCCGCTGACACAGCCTGGGCTCCCAGCGTGAAAGACTTCTCAGCCAGCTGTGCTGTGAGTCTGTCTTTTTGTGCTGGTAAGGTGGCTTTCTTGGAGGCCGCCCAGGGACTCGAACCCGGCACTAGATACGCCGCCATGGCGCTCTCGAGCTTAGGGATTCCCTTAGCCGCCCACTCACGTCCAGCCACTCTCGTGAATGGGATGTACACCTTGGCCGGCGAACGCGCCGCCAGGGGTGTGTCCCACGAGCCCTCGACATATTTCCCAAGGGAAGGCATAGCCGGAGCCATCGGCTCAGCTGCCTTCCTTGGTTTAGAGTAGGGGCCGCCCTCCATCAAGTCAACCTCCACAGGGGGGGGAGCTGGGGGTAGCGCTATCTCTAGTCGATTGGCGGCTTTCTCAATGAGTTCGGGAAAGTCCGAACGCAGAGAGGCCGCTGCGAAGGACAGGGCTGCTGACGTAACAGAGCCCGTGTCGTCATCGCATAAGGAGCCTTCAGACCTCGTACTCCCCATAGGGAAGGGGGTCTTGAAGGTTGGCGCCAGAGGGTCGGATTGTTCCATTGGAACATCCATCTCTGCGTCTCCCTCCTTATCATCCCCTGAGCCAGCACTGTCCGACGACGCCTCTGAAGCAGAGGCGAGAAGAGACAATACATCCTCTAGGGGGATATCCTCCCTAAAGAACGCCCAACGCTGCTTCCTCTCCTTCATAGGAAGGAGGGCGCAGGGGGCGCAGTTAGGGGGATTGCCGATTCCTTCCTTGGCATGCTGCGGCCCCAAACACACGAAACAAAGGTCGTGGGGATCCGCAGATGTCATGGCGGTACATCGGCACAGAGCCCTGAAAAGGGCTTTTGGGGGTGGAAATTCTCCTGGTGTGCTCATTTAGAAGACGTCGATGGCTGGATAATCGACGGCGAATTCTTCCTGAGTCTTCTTCTCTTCTTGGCTTCTTCAGTCTAGTCGTCCAGTCGCTGAAGATAAAGGGAGGCTGATTGAGGGGATGTGTCCCCTCTTATAGGGACACCTGTGCTCCCATTGGCTGCAGGTGTGTGCATAAATTTGCTTCAGGCTGTTGCTGCCTTAGGGCAGAGGGTAAACCACTAGGAGCAGAGCTCCCCTATGGGGCGGAGCTCCACGATATAGAACAACATAATGACTTGTACCCTCCACAGAGACTGGAGTCTTTCAGTGTCTCTATGTCCCCCAGTGCACTATGGGACTCTGAACCAGCTCTCTGCCTCTGGTAGATCTTCATAAATTCACCCATAGACACTTTCCCTGAAGAAACACAGCACTTAATTTACCCAGAGTCCAGATACAAGATATAGAGTACTGCCATGGTCAAATGAATGGTAAACCCTGATAGAAAATGTTTTAGAATGCAGCATTTACAGTAGAGTCTAGGAGTGATGTTCAGCTACAGGGCAGTGTCACTCACTATGTGAGGATAGTGGCAGGGCCGGGACCTGGACTAGTGTGTCTGGAACGCTGTGACTGGGTAGGAGCTGACACAACCTGTGGAGGAATTGCCTTCTGTAGGCCTCTAGCCGAGGGGGCAGTCTCTTCATGATGCTGTACCTGGTGGTCTACAGGGAAGGTGGTAAGGGCTGCATTTCGGTCCCGTGATGTAGAACAGGCTACGACAAAGGCCACCAGGTGGCGGCCACAGCACAGGCCTCCACCTGGGGTAGACTCGTTACAACCGGAGAGGGGGATATGGAGGATTAAAAGACCAATGAATGGAAGTGGGGACACCACAGGAAAATGTGTCATATGTGCCCGACATGACATGGCGTTTGACCAGTCGGTCCCGCCTCCACAGGTTGTAGAGGTGTCCCTAATCTGCACCCAGTCGCCTGTAGACCGTACCAGGAGCAACAGTCACCTCATCGTCTAGAACAGTAGTTCCCTTTTTTTTAAGGAACTCAGTCCGGCTTTCAACTTACTCTTGAAAGTTGTAATAGTGGAATGCACAAGGTGCAATTTCAAAATTAGGTAGTGCATCATCAGTTCCTCTTGTCATGTCAGTTATTGCATACCTTAGAGAGCTATTTATAACTTGCCAGAAATGTCCATATCAACTAGCCCATGTCAGCTAATGTTTTTTAGCTTGTTTTTTGCCCATTTAGAAGTAATGTTTGAGTCACTCAAATATCAGCTGAATACACATTATGCATGGCAAAATGTATAGAATTGCTAAAAAATTTGCTATAAAACTGCTAAATTCTCTTCACTCCATGACAAAATGTGTAGAATTGCAGGAAATAAGCTTTAAACCCGCAAAATGTTCTCTCCGCCAACAAGAGGGGTGTGAACAGTTTGTGTCATGAACAGTGCTTGTGCCCATAGAAATGTATGTGGCGCGCGCGGGGGGAGGGTGCGCGAGATGTTCCCCAGTGCTGGAAGGGGGGCCTGAGTGAAAAAGTTTGGGAACCCCTGGTCTAGAAGACACACTGTCCATCCCACCTGCAAACACCTGTTCTTCCCACTGAGTAACGACACAGCCATCCTCATCTCTTACTTCCATTGTGGTCTCCATCAGAGGAGGACGAAGCTGCACAGAGGATTCAGTCCTGTGAGGCGTGCACAAAAACTACATTATGCAAGAACAATTGGATAAATTGGGTAAAAGGTAACTCCATATCACTGAAACAGAAGAGCTAGTGCTATAATTACATGATCAGGGTTTTAGGGTTCAGGGCTGACTCACATCAGTAGACTGCAGAAGGCTCTCTGGGAAGTTGTAGCAGCCGGCCGAGCAGGACACCTCAGTGTTGCCATAGACGTTGTGAGTGCAGTTCCCCTGCTGCCTCCAGCTACAGAGCAGGGCTGGGGAGGGGAGGGACAGGCCTCGCCCCCCCCCCCCCCCCCCAGGGCTAACACATGCAGAGAGAAGCCAGCAGAGTGGACCTCTTCCTGCAGGACACGCCTGCCAAAACGTCCAAGCTGGGTGGGAGTCACCGGAGGGACACAAGACACAAAATTACCACATGCTACAACAAAAAGCAACAAAAGGCTTGATAAATTACTCTCATCCCATGGTCATACTTACCTTAAAAACAGTGGTCTTGTGTTTCTTAAATAGCACGAGCCATTCTGTTGGGCATTTTCTTAATCACCGTGGGGACGATGAGGCGGCGCGCCCCTGACCATAACGGCAGAAATATTTCCACCATTGAAGGGTTAAAAGGTCAGGGGAGAGGCCAGGAACACCCCATCATCTTGTGTCATGTGAAACAGAGATCTGAAGAGATAAGGACAGAATGCTGTTTAACAAACAATATTCACTGAAATTCAATACATACAACCAGTGACATGGACATTGAGATACAGAAATACATGCATCACACCAATCCAACTAAACCAGTATATTAGGCACTATACACTTGGGTGGTACCCTCAATCTCTTGGGAAGACCTGTTGTTCCAGATGTGTGTAATATAAACGCCAGTGACCCCTGGCTGGCACTCTCACTGCAGCAGGAGTAAAGAGGTCAGCATTTGGCACCCCTTTTTGGGCCATTACCCCATCCTGGACATGGGCTGCAATTGGACTGTGCTGTATTAGTATGAGGGTTAGGTTGTGAGCAGACCACACTGCACACACCTCTACAGACATGAGGTTGGAAAATGCAGTCTTGAATTGTTTGGGGGGGAAAAGAGAGAGATAAAGTCAAATAGTCAGAGGGTGAAACATGTCAGTAAGTAATTATAATTTTAAACCACAGTTATAATATAAACCACTATCATAATGCTCTGTGAATGCTCTTTACCTGCAACAGGTCACTCTGTAGAACAAAGTACTTCAGCCCACACCGCTCCATGACATGGGCAGACAGAAGTGCTGGGGGGTCTGGGTGCAGTGGTACATATGCAGCAGGTACCTGGAGGATGCTGACAGACAGAGGACCACCTTGAGAGCTGTTTACAGTAGTCCAAGCATATAACTTACAGTAGACTTGGGTAATACTAATCTTTGGCATGAAACAGCTGATAAAATGGATCAACCCCCAGTTGAGAGACATTAACAATAATACACTTACCCCAGAATCCACACTGGCAGGTTGACATCTGGCAGACAATATAATTCGATTGCTCTTGTATTTTGCTGTAGAACAAATGTTAATTCATTTCCAAGAGCAACAAGTTCGAAAAATGTATGCACTCACTAACTGTAAGTCGCTCTGGATAAGTGCGTCTGCTAAATGACGTAAAATGTAAAAAATGTAAAATGTAATAAGGTTACAGCAACACAGAGCATTCTTTTGTTGTCCCCTTGTCAAATGTGACTGCTATTTTGCCACTATGCAAAGAGGCAGCTGCGAGCACCATGTCTTGTAGCGTTTTCGTTGCCATCACCGGGTGAACACGGAAAATCTAAAGTATAGTCATTCACTATCAAATTAATGTTACAAGTAGCTAGCTAACAATATTTTCATTGTTGCAAAACGTTTGGTCGCATGAAGATGACAACTTGTAGAAAATATTGCGTCACATCATGAAATATCCAATCATATTTTAGTATTTTGTTGCGGGAAGTTTGAATTTTTTCACGTCGCGTTCGAAGTCGGTTAGTCTCGAAAACCCGACCCTTGTTGCCTACGTCGGGTTTTCGAGATTCAAATTAGACGTCCGTCGGCCTTGGACCCGAAGAGAATCAAACGAATGAGGGGAATAAAATGCTTTAAATGTATAGTTTAATTGATAAAAACTTTGCCTGACAACATGGATGACTTCGTCAAAAATAAGCTTAAGAACAATGCCAAGATTTACAGTGATACTTTGGAGCGAATCGTTCAGAAGGTATGTGGAAAATGGGCTGATAGCTAACGTTACCTAGCTAACTAACCGTGGTAGCCAGATGCCTGCTAGCTTTGTAGCGAGCTAGTTAGTATTATTCTAACGATTTCGTTAGATAATCAAACATATTAGCAAAGACACCCTATTGATGTTATCTAACTCTTTTCTCTGTGTATATCAATGATGTCGCTCTTGCTGCTGATGACTCTCAGATCCACCTCTACGCAGACGACACCATTTTGTATACATCTGGCCCTTCATTGGACACTGTTAACCTCCAAACGAGCTTCAATGCCATACAACACTCCTTCAGTAGCCTCCAACTGTTCTTAAACACTAGTACAACTAAATGCATACTCTTCAATCGAACGCTGCTGGCACCAGCCCACCCGACTAGAATCACTACTCTCGACGGGTCTGACCTAGAGTATGTGGACAACTACAAATACCTAGGTGTCTGGTTAGACTGTAAACTCTCCTTCCAGACTCACATTAAGAATCTCCAATCCAAAGTTAAATCTAGAATCGGCTTCCTATTTCGCAACAAAGCCTCCTTCACTCATGCTGCCAAACATGCCCTCGTAAAACTGACTATCCTACCGATCCTTGACTTAGGCGATGTCATTTACAAAATAGCCTCCACCACTCTACTCAGCAAAATGGATGTAGTCTATCACAGTGCCATCCGTTTTGTCACCAAAGCCCCATATACTACCCACCACTGTGACCTGTACGCTCTTGTTGGCTGGTCCTCACTACATATTCGTCGCCAAACCCACTGGCTCCAGGCCATCTATAAATCACTGTTAGGCAAATCCCCGCCTTATCTTAGCTCATTGGTCACCATAGCACCACCCACCCGTAGTATGCGCTCCAGCAGGTATATCTCACTGGTCATCCCCAAAGCCAACACCTCCTTTGGCCGCCATTCCTTCCAGTTCTCTGCTGCCAATGACTGGAACGAATTGCAAAAATCTCTGAAGCTGGAGACTCTTATCTCCCTCACTAACTTTAAGCATCAGTTGTCAGAGCACCTTACCGATCACTGCACCTGTACAAAGCCCATCTGAAATTAGCCCACCCAACTACCTCATCCCCATATTGTTATTTATTTAGCTCATTTGCACCCCAGTATCTCTATTTGCACATCATATCTTGCACATCTATCATTCCAGTGTTAATACTAATTGTAATTATTTTGCACTATAGCCTGTTTATTGCCTTACCTCCATAACTTGCTACATTTGCACACACTGTATATACACTGCTCAAAAAAAGTAAAGGGAACACTAAAATAACACATCCTAGATCTGAATGAATGAAATAATCTTATTAAATACTTTTTTCTTTACATAGTTGAATGTGCTGACAACAAAATCACACAAAAATTATCAATGGAAATCAAATGTATCAACCCATGGAGGTCTGGATTTGGAGTCACCCTCAAAATTAAAGTGGAAAACCACACTACAGGCTGATCCAACTTTGATGTAATGTCCTTAAAACAAGTCAAAATGAGGCTCAGTAGTGTGTGTGGCCTCCACGTGCCTGTATGACCTCCCTACAATGCCTGGGCATGCTCCTGATGAGGTGGCGGATGATCTCCTGAGGGATCTCCTCCCAGACCTGGACTAAAGCATCTGCCAACTCCTGGACAGTCTGTGGTGCAACGTGGCGTTGGTGGATGGAGCGAGACATGATGTCCCAGATGTGCTCAATTGGATTCAGGTCTGGGGAACGGGCGGGCCAGTCCATAGCATCAATGCCTTCCTCTTGCAGGAACTGCTGACACACTCCAGCCACATGAGGTCTAGCATTGTCTTGCATTAGGAGGAACCCAGGGCCAACCGCACCAGCATATGGTCTCACAAGGGGTCTGAGGATCTCATCTCGGTACCTAATGGCAGTCAGGCTACCTCTGGCGAGCACATGGAGGGCTGTGCGGCCCCCCAAAGAAATGCCACCCCACACCATGACTGACCCACCGCCAAACCGGTCATGCTGGAGGATGTTGTAGGCAGCAGAACGTTCTCCACGGCGTCTCCAGACTCTGTCACGTGCTCAGTGGGAACCTGCTTTCATCTGTGAAGAGCACAGGGCGCCAGTGGCGAATTTGCCAATCTTGGTGTTCTCTGGCAAATGCCAAACGTCCTGCACAGTGTTGGGCTGTAAGCACAACCCCCACCTGTGGACGTCGGGCTCTCATACCACCCTCATGGAGTCTGTTTCTGACCGTTTGAGTAGACACATGCACATTTGTGGCCTGCTGGAGGTCATTTTGCAGGGCTCTGGCAGTGCTCCTCCTTGCACAAAGGCGGAGGTAGCAGTCCTGCTGCTGGGTTGTTGGCCTCCTCCACGTCTCCTGATGTACTGGCCTGTCTCCTGGTAGCGCCTCCATGCTCTGGACACTACGCTGACAGACACAGCAAACCTTCTTGCCACAGCTCGCATTGATGTGCCATCCTGGATGAGCTGCACTACCTGAGCCACTTGTGTGGGTTGTAGACTCTGTCTCATGCTACCACTAGAGTGAAAGCACCGCCATCATTCAAAAGTGACCAAAACATCAGCCAGGAAGCATAGGAACTGAGAAGTGGTCTGTGGTCACCACCTGCAAAACCAGACCTTTATTGGGGGTGTCTTGCTAATTGCCTATAATTTCCACCTGTTGTCTATTCCATTTGCACAACAGCATGTGACATTAATTGTCAATCAGTGTTGCTTCCTAAGTGGACAGTTTGATTTCACAGAAGTGTGATTGACTTGGAGTTACATTGTGTTGTTTAAGTGTTCCCTTAATTTTTTTGAGCAGTGTATATTTTCTGTTGTATTTTTGACTTTATGTTTTGTTTGACCCCATATGTAACTCTGTGTTGTTGTTTTTATCGCACTGCTTTGCTTTATCTTGGCCAGGTCGCAGTTGTAAATGAGAACTTGTTCTCAACTGGCTTACCTGGTTAAATAAAGGTGAAATAAATAAAAATAAAATAACCCAGCTAACTCAAATCGTACTACTGTAAGTTAGGTAGTAGTCTCTCCCGCCTACTTTTACTGTCCCCCTTTGGCCACGGGACGAAATGCACAAACAATGCACCCCCTCATCAGTGTCACTCAGTACTACTAGGCCTGTAACAGAGATGAAACCTCAGAATGTGACAGTATTTACTCTTTCTTCCTCGACAACAGTATTCAAAGCTGCATGACAATGGGACTGAGGTGAACCTGGAGGACATAACACCCCAAGGTAAACAACAGTCCGTTTATGGTTACACTTGTTAGCTAAGAATACTTAAACTCCATGGATGATGGAGTTAATTATCCTTAGCTATGGTTACACACATTATCTGCTTCTCAGTGCTTGAAGAATTGTTTAGTCTTGTCAACAACGATATACAGTAGCTAGTTTTATGTTTATGGGTAATAACTCTGCACTCAACAGTGTTGGCTCAATGTCCTGATGTTTATTGTTTTTTCATGTGTCCTGTAATTGGATGGAGAAGAAGTGAGAGGATGCATGGTCAAGTCAGAGTTGGAGCTATCAAAGCTTGGATTTGTAAGATATGACATTATGTACTGTAGCTAATTATTTTAGACCCACGTGGTACATTTTCTGTTTATGTAGACTTTTTACATTTTTCTGAGAAATCGCTTATGTTTCTGGATCACACTCACACCTCTTACTCCACCTCTTTAGAATGATGCTAACCTGGCAGAGCTGTCACTAGGAGGTAAGAACTATGTATGCTTGTTTGCATGTGACTGTAGCTGAGTTGGTAGAGCATGGCGCTTGCAACGCCAGGTTTGTGGGTTCGTTTCCCACGGGGGGCCAGTATGAAAATGTATGCACTCACTCTGGATGTAAGTCGCTCTGGATAAGAGCGTCTGCTAAATGACTAAAATTTAAATGTATTCCTCTTTTGTTTGTTAATAAAAAATGTAAAAAGTAGAAACTACAACACGTTGTTTCTCTGTGAGATGTGCACTTGGGGCTCGATTCAATCTGTAAAGCTGAAGCATTACAGATTCTGCGATAGAAATGTAAAGTTCATTTCCGATTGAGCCGACAATCGGAAATTAAAGGTAATTTCCGCTAAAGTGGGAACATTGCCTTTACATCTCAATCACACTGTAAAGCTGAATTTCCGCAATGCGGATTGAATAGAGCCCTTAATTGTTAAATTGATCTGAATGTATATTCATGTTACATATTTTGTTATTTCAGATGTTTCTGAAATACACAGGCCACAGGACACCACTGGAGATTTCAAGGTACACATGGTGACAACTGATTGTGGGCAGAACAGATCTGTCTGTTTGGAGACTGTTGTCCAACCAGATGTTAACAGCCCACATTACTATAGCTTACTGTACTTCTCATGTTTTTCAACAGATGGACATCTCATACCACCAGGATGATCCCAACAATGATTGTGTAGATGAGGGTGCTGTAGATGCGAGTCCTGTCACTATCAACAGTAATGATTATGTTATGCAGCAGGCTGCAGAGAACAGCCACTGTAAGTAAATTATTTGAACATAAACCCTAGTGACTTATGTATTGTGCATGTCAAAGTAAACATATAAAATACAATTACAACAATTTTTCATGTTCATTTCTGATTAATAAATTGTGTTTATATTGCCTCCATCAGGGGTGGATAATTCCAAGATGAATGGGACTAGGAGTAGCCTGTGGGGGGCGCCAGAGGAGCAGGATGAGGAGCTGGAGCGCTCTCTGAGCAGTCAATGTAGCACTCTACTGGACCTGTATCCCAGCATGCTCAGCAAGGTAGGAGAGGCCTGGCAGCGCCAGCATATGTCCGACGCGGCTGTAGGGGTGCTGAGGAGGTACCACAGACTCAGGTGGTTCTCTAACAGAAACCTCAATAACAGCACCTTCAACATCACCCTGAGACCTGCTCACAGAAAGACTACCCTCAACAATGGCCAATCCAACCTCCAAACATCTCAGAACACCATACTGAATGTGACTAACCCCAAGAGTCTTAAGTTTAACGTCAAAAGGACAACAACCCTCACACATCCTCCTCCACAGACCAAAGTCAACCTCCAGGAGTGGCCAGCAGAGAGGCTGTCCCCCAGGAAGGGGACAGATTCAGGGAACAGACAACCGCCCCGCCCTGTTCTAGTGATGGACTTCTCCTCTCGTCCCTCCTCTGCAGGCTCCAGTCCTGCCTCCCCCCCTCTCTCCTCTGCAGCCTCCTCCCCTCTCTCTGCTCTCTCCTCTGCAGCCTCCTCTCCTCCCTCCTCTGCAGCCTCCCTTCCCTGCTCTGCTCTCTCCTCTGCAGACTCCTCTCTACAGGAGAGCCCTGAGCCAGAGGAGCCCCCCCTAAACCAAACCTTCATCGTGTCCATGCCCTCTTCCCCACCCCCCAGGGTTGGGTATACTACCCTTGTCTTCAGTCCTGCAAGATCTGAAGGCCCCTTCACAGCAAGAGGGTTGAGCAGCCCATCTATAAGGAAGTGTGCCCTCCCCACACTTCCCCATCAGAGGTTTTTCACAGCAGTATGCCCTGTGGTCAGTATGAACATGTCTTCAGACTACCGCTCCCCAGTAGCACTGAGTCCCTACAGAGCCAGACTGCTGAGCTGGGACGGCCAGCGTGCAGCATCTAACGCCCACCATAGAAGCCCCAAGTCGGGTTTTGCTGGATATCATCAGAGAAACACTGTGGAGCCCAGATCTTCCCCTGCGTCTTCACCCTCCTCTCTTCATAGGCCTCTGATGTCACCCAGGAAGCCCCACCACCTGGACTCCTGCAGTCCCTCCCAGCTGAAACTCCAATCGTCTAGATCATCATCCAATCATGAGTCTGGGGCAGGCCAGCCAAGGCTCCGGCGACACTGTTCCCTGGATTCCTTCTCCCCATCTATCAGTCTCTTACGAAACTCTGCTAAGCAGATTGACAAGGACTTCCAGAAGGTCTACCACAAGCTTGTCTGTCAGGGCAAATCCTCCTCCTCCTGCCGCATGTGTGAGAGGAGAGCAGAGACCACCAGAGGAACCTCCTCCTCTGCTCTGGCCGCCCTGGCCCTGTCTCCTCACCACTCTGTCATGAGGAAGCGTTGCAGGGAGCTGGTCCAGGAACAGTCCCCAGAGTCCAAACGCTTCAGGGATCGCTCCTTTGTGTACTCCCCAGGATCCCTCCGCCAGAGGATAGAAATGTTCAGGTGTCCAGAACAGCTCAGACAGCCATTTGTCCTCCACCCAGAGGGACATCTCCTGCGACTCCCACAACTGGAGCCCCCGCAAGGCCAGCCTGGCTCAGACCCACCACAGCCCCCATCACCAACATCACTCATCAGATGCAGCAGTCAGGAAAGCTGCAGGCTCCTGGTCCGGCCTGCATGTTGATCAGCACTCTCCTGCTTGGGTAAGAGTCTTCCACAGAAACACTGTTAAAAATGTATGTCTTATTTCCTTGCATTTTCTAACATTGCTTTCTTCTCTGTCTGCTGTCTAGAGAGAGAAATACAACAGATTTGTTCAAATTCATCAAGGTTTGTTTCTGCTTTGTCTAGTCTCACAGAAAAAAATAAACTTGTCTAATCTTTGATTGACCACTTAGCAGTAAATTTGTATTCAGTTCTGATATTTTATTTATCCTCTCAGGAAAGTCAGCTGTCAAGGCAAAGTGCCAATGTGGCTGTTCGCCAAGGTAACCATGACCTTATTCAAAAAGTAGTATGTTCTGCATTGTTGTTGAAATCTTTTAATAGATGCATTTCATTGTTTCTCATGTTAACCAGCCTCCCTTCTTTCCCCCAGTTTCTCTAGGAGACAACTTCTGTATAAATGATGTCACCCCACAGAAAGGCTGTCCTATCCTGCACCTCTACCTGTGGTTTATATGCCAGAGTTGAAAACATTTACATTTACATTTTAGTCATTTAGCAGACGCTCTTATCCAGAGCGACCTACAGTTAGTGAGTGCATACATTATTTTTTATTTTACATACTGCGCGCCCCCCCCCCCCCCGGAATCAAACCCACAACCCTGGCGTTGCAAACACCATGCTCTACCAACTGAGCTACATCCCTGCCGGCCATTCCCTCCCCTACCCTGGACGACACTGGGTCCAATTGTGCGACGCCCCATGTGTCTCCCGGTCACGGCCGGCTACGACAGAGCCTAGAGCCCGGATTATAACATCTCTGCTGTTGCTGTTTATATCTGCATTTGAAAACATATTTCTGATGTCCCAATAACCATTAACTAATTTGTTATAATGAAATGTTTCTGCAATGTCTTTTTAAAAATATAAATATATTAGTGAATTTCCTATACTGGGTTTTATTACTGCCATGCTGGTGTTTCATAACTGTTTGTGAATGGATGAGTGCATCATAAATACTGAATGACTTAATTGTAATAGAAAATATAAGGTTTTCAAAAGTATTTTATATCAATTAATTGCTTATCACAGTGGGGAAAATGAAAGCACGATTAACAGAAATTAAATGTTCAGCAAAGTCTTTTAATCTACATCGAACAAAAATATAAATGCAACATGTAAAGTGTTGGTCCCATGTTTCATGAGCTGAAATAAAAGGTCCCAGAAATGGAATGTTCATTTCTCTACCATAAGCTGCCTCCAACATTTTAGAGAATTTGGCAGTATGTCCAACCGCAGACCACGTGTAACCACGCCAGCCCAGGACCTCCACATCTGGCTTCTTCACCTGCAGGATGGTCTGAGACAAGCTACCGGGACAGCTGATGAAACTGGGATTCCACAACTGAAGAACTTCTGCACAAACTGTCAGAAACCATTTCAGGGAAGCTCATCTGCGTGGTCGTTCTCACCATCGTCTTGACCTGACTGCAGTTCGGCGTAGTAACTGGCTTCCGTGGGGAAATGTTCACGGTTGTGAACAAAGTGTCCCAAGATTGGGGCGGGGTTATGGTATGGGCAGGCATAACCTACGGACAACGAACACAATTGCATTTTATCGATGGCAATGTGAATGAGATCCTGAGGCCCATTGTCATGCAATTCATCCGCTGCCATCAACTCATGTTTCAGCATGATAATGCATGGCCCCATGTCGCAAGGATCTACACAGTTCCTGGAAGCTGAAAATGGCCTTAATTCTTCCATGGCCTGCATACTCACCAGACATGTCACCCATTGAGCATGTTTGGGATGCTCTGGATTGACGTGTATGACAGCGTGTTTCAGTTCCCGCCAATATCCAGCAACTTCGCACAGCCATTGATGAGCGGGACAACATCCACAGGACACAATCAACAGCCTGATCAACTCTATGCAAATGATAGGTATCTGTGACCTACAGATGCATATCTGTATTCCAGTCATGTGAAATCCATAGATTAGGGTCTAATGAATTTATTTCAATTGACGATTTCCTTATGAACTGTAACTCAGTAAAATCTTTGAAATTGTTGCATGTTGCGCTTATATTTGTTCAGTGTAGTATGCACTTCACAGGAGGAACAGTGATTAGTCTGAAAGTTAGGGAAACAGGATTCAACCACTTCGTATATAGGATATAAGCAAAATACATTTGCAGGTCTACTTAGTAGAGGTTTTAGGCTAAATTAAATGGAAGCAAGTTGTTTTCACATAACATTTTTGGTTTGAAGTCTTGTGCGTCTTACAGCTGATAAGGCAACTTGTAATGAATCTATCCAATGAGAGAAAGGGGTCAGAATGCTGGTTTTCAATAACAATGGAATATTACGTGGAATGAAAAGGCAGGGTTCAAATGTAATACATTGACATGCATATGGTTATTGTATTGCCAGAGTGGAAGCATCCAGGCTCAAAGGTTTCAGACCAAAGCAGGCCGTGCACCACTCAAGCAGTAACAGCTTTCAGGAGAAATTAAGCAGCTACAGCAATTCTGTGTTTACTTGTCAAGGTGAGGCCGTGCCCCAGTCAGTCATACTGTGACCAAGCAGGCTCCAAGAGGCACTTCCTTGGTTAGAGTAGAGTTAAGGTTTCACACAGGTTAAGTGCAATAACGGCAGTAGTGTGGTTGGGTTGTGGTTTGAGGTTGGGGTCAGCGGTCACCACTCCAGTTCCACAGGGTATTTGCCTGTGAGGCAGGCGGTGCAGTGGCCCACTCTCCTGCTGGCCTTGGTGTTGGTGCTGATCCGCTCATCCTTCTGGAGGGAGGGGATTCCCCACTGCACCGCTGACACCAGGCCCTCCACTGACAGATACTGCACGCTGGTGGCACCTACATTACAGAACAACATCACCGTTTTACAGTCTGGACCACCCACACGTCGAATAATAAGTCAATTGAATAATAAGTATTCCAAATCTCACCAATGTAGCCAGCAATGTCCTTAAACTCTGGCCTGTTAGCAATGAGCTCCTCTTTTGTGGGGATGTTGATCCCCATGTAGCAGGGGAACCTGATAGGCGGGGAGGCAACACGGATGTGGACCTATGGGAGGGGAGGTCAGCAACCAAAATGAGTGGTCATTACAGACAATGTGAGACCAGACGTAGTCGTTTCATTGTCGAGAAGGAACCTGCAAGTAAGCATTTCATTGGACGATGTATACCATGCGTATCCCGTACATATGACTAATGAAACTGAAACTTGAGTAATCAATCATTATAAACAGAGGAGAGAGAGACTAACATGCAGTATAATTGATATTAAGAGGAGGACTGATAATGATCAACTCTGGGCCACTCACCTCTGTGGCTCCTGCTTCCTTCAACAGCTTGATTATGGGGGAGATGGTGTTGCCCCTGACGATGGAATCATCAACAAGCACCACCCGCTTGCCTGCAAAGTTGTCTGTCAGCGCACCAAACTTCTTGGCCACCCCCAACTGCCTGAGGCGTGTGTTTGGTTGAATAAACGTCCTCCCAACGTAGCGATTCTTACACAGAACCTCTACGTACGGTAGTCCTGACTGCAGAGATGGAACAGAAGAGTACAAACTGAAGCCCAGAATATTGTATGAATATGCACAATTCAGAATATGCACCCTATTGCTATCAACATTCAATAGGTGCCATGACTCACCTGTTCCGCGTATCCCAGTGCAGCAGGAGTAGCAGACTCAGGCACAGTGCTGACCACATCTGCCTCTGTAGGGGCCTCAATGGCAAGCTGCCGTCCACAGCGCTGCCTGACTGTGTACACCATCTGACCTGCAACACCAGGAGGAAACTATAGCTACTCTGGCATCAGCTCAAAAGCAAGTAATGTGCTGTAACCTCCCAGCCAAACTATTTACTACTCTCACTGACTCAGTGCTACAACTTAAAAAGTTGTGTTATTAGCCAGGCCAACTACTACATATGCCTACCTTCAAATATGGAGTCTGGTCTGGCAAAGTAAACATATTCAAAGATGCAGAAGGCAGGGAGGTCTCCCTCGGGGCGAGGGACGATGCTTAGGGACTTCACACCGTGTTTGGAGATCTGGACTATCTCTCCAGGCAATACCTCTCTGTAGTACCTAAAGACCAGACAAAGAGAGAGGCTTGTGAGCCACAGGACCACATGTTGCCATGGCAATAAGAGGTAGGTCACCGTGGTGATGAGAGCTCACTTGGCACCAATTGACTGGAAGCTGCAGGACTCTGATGACACCACCCAGCCCTCTGTGTCTCCCTCGCCAGCACCTGACAGAGAACAGAATATGGCCTGTCAATCATCCATCCTCTCCCACTTCTTATATATATTTATATATATATATATACATACACACACACACACACACAGTGGGGGAAAAAAGTATTTAGTCAGCCACCAATTGTGCAAGTTCTCCCACTTAAAAAGATGAGAGAGGCCTGTAATTTTCATCATAGGTACACGTCAACTATGACAGACAAATTGAGGGGGAAAAAAAAATCCTGAAAATCACATTGTAGGATTTTTAATGCATTTATTTGCAAATTATGGTGGAAAATAAGTATTTGGTCACCTACAAACAAGCAAGATTTCTGGCTCTCACAGACCTGTAACTTCTTCTTTAAGAGGCTCCTCTGTCCTCCACTCGTTACCTGTATTAATGGCACCTGTTTGAACTTGTTATCAGTATAAAAGACACCTGTCCACAACCTCAAACAGTCACACTCCAAACTCCACTATGGCCAAGACCAAAGAGCTGTCAAAGGACACCAGAAACAAAATTGTAGACCTGCACCAGGCTGGGAAGACTGAATCTGCAATAGGTAAGCAGCTTGGTTTGAAGAAATCAACTGTGGGAGCAATTATTAGGAAATGGAAGACATACAAGACCACTGATAATCTCCCTCGATCTGGGGCTCCACGCAAGATCTCATCCCGTGGGGTCAAAATGATCACAAGAACGGTGAGCAAAAATCCGAGAACCACACGGGGGGGACCTAGTGAATGACCTGCAGAGAGCTGGGACCAAAGTAACAAAGCCTACCATCAGTAACACACTACGCCGCCAGAGACTCAAATCCTGCAGTGCCAGACATGTCCCCCTGCTTAAGCCAGTACATGTCCAGGCCCGTCTGAAGTTTGCTAGAGTGCATTTGGATGATCCAGAAGAGGATTGGGAGAATGTCATATGGTCAGATGAAACCAAAATATAACTTTTTGGTAAAAACTCAACTCATCGTGTTTGGAGGACAAAGAATGCTGAGTTGCATCCAAAGAACACCATACCTACTGTGAAGCATGGGGGTGGAAACATCATGCTTTGGGGCTGTTTTTCTGCAAAGGGACCAGGACGACTGATCCGTGTAAAGGAAAGAATGAATGGGGCCATGTATCGTGAGATTTTGAGTGAAAACCTCCTTCCATCAGCAAGGGCATTGAAGATGAAACGTGGCTGGGTCTTTCAGCATGACAATGATCCCAAACACACCGCCCGGGCAACGAAGGAATGGCTTCATAAGAAGCATTTCAAGGTCCTGGAGTGGCCTAGCCAGTCTCCAGATCTCAACCCCATAGAAAATCTTTGGAGGGAGTTGAAAGTCCGTGTTGCCCAGCGACAGCCCCAAAACATCACTGCTCTAGAGGAGATCTGCATGGAGGAATGGGCCAAAATACCAGCAACAGTGTGTGAAAACCTTGTGAAGACTTACAGAAAACGTTTGACCTGTGCCATTGCCAACAAAGGGTATATATAACAAAGTATTAAGAAACTTTTGTTATTGACCAAATACTTATTTTCCACCATAATTTGCAAATAAATTCATTAAAAAATCCTACAATGTGATTTTCTGGAAAAAAATCTCATTTTGTCTGTCATAGTTGACGTGTACCTATGATGAAAATTACAGGCCTCTCTCATCTTTTTAAGTGGGAGAACTTGCACAATTGGTGGCTGACTAAATACAGTGCTCAAAAAAAATAAAGGGAACACTAAAATAACACATCCTAGATCTGAATGAATGAAATAATCTTATTAAATACTTTTTTCTTTACATAGTTGAATGTGCTGACAACAAAATCACACAAAAATTATCAATGGAAATCAAATGTATCAACCCATAGAGGTCTGGATTTGGAGTCACCCTCAAAATTTAAAGTGGAAAACCACACTACAGGCTGATCCAACTTTGATGTAATGTCCTTAAAACAAGTCAAAATGAGGCTCAGTACTGTGTGGCCTCCACGTGCCTGTATGACCTCCCTACAACGCCTGGGCATGCTCCTGATGAGCTGGCGGATGGTCTCCTGAGGGATCTCCTCCCAGACCTGGACTAAAGCATCCGCCAACTCCTAGACAGTCTGTGGTGCAACGTGGCGTTGGTGGATGGAGCGAGACATGATGTGTCCCAGATGTGCTCAATTGGATTCAGGTCTGGGGAACGGGCGGGCCAGTCCATAGCATCAATGCCTTCCTCTTACAGGAACTGCTGACACACTCCAGCCACATGAGGTCTAGCATTGTCTTGCATTAGGAGGAACCCAGGGCCAACCGCACCAGCATATGGTCTCACAAGGGGTCTGAGGATCTCATCTCGGTACCTAATGGCAGTCAGGCTACCTCTGGCGAGCACATGGAGGGCTGTGCGGCCCCCCAAAGAAATGCCACCCCACACCATGACGGACCCACCACCAAACCGGTCATGCTGGAGGATGTTGCAGGCAGCAGAACGTTCTCCACGGCGTCTCCAGACTCTGTCACGTCTGTCACGTGCTCAGTGTGAACCTGCTTTCATCTGTGAAGAGCACAGGGCGCCAGTGGCGAATTTGCCAATCTTGGTGTTCTCTGGGAAATGCCATAAGTCCTGCACGGTGTTGGGCTGTAAGCACAACCCCGACCTGTGGATGTCAGGCCCTCATACCACCCTCATGGAGTCTGTTTCTGACCGTTTGAGCAGACACATGCACATTTGTGGCCTGCTGGAGGTCATTTTGCAGGGCTCTGGCAGTGCTCCTCCTGCTCCTCCTTGCACAAAGGCGGAGGTAGCAGTCCTGCTGCTGGGTTGTTGCCCTCCTACGGCCTCCTCCACGTCTCCTGATGTACTGGCCTGTCTCCTGGTAGCACCTCCATGCTCTGGACACTACGCTGACAGACACAGCAAACCTTCTTGCCACAGCTCGCATTGATGTGCCATCCTGGATGAGCTGCACTACCTGAGCCACTTGTGTGGGTTGTAGACTCCGTCTCATGCTACCACTAGAGTGAAAGCACCGCCAACATTCAAAAGTGACCAAAACATCAGCCAGGAAGCATAGGAACTGAGAAGTGGTCTGTGGTCACCACCTGCAGTCCTTTATTGGGAGTGTCTTGCTAATTGCCTATAATTTCCACCTGTTGTCTATTCCATTTGCACAACAGCATGTGAAATTTATTGTCAATCAGTGTTGCTTCCTAAGTGGACAGTTTGATTTCACAGACAGATTATTTCACTTAATCACAATTCCAGTGGGTCAGAAGTTTACATACACTAAGTTGACTGTGCCTTTAAACGGCTTGGAAAATTCCAGAAAATGATGTCATGGCTTTAGAAGCTTCTGATAGGCTAATTATAATATAATAATATAATATGCCATTTAGCAGACGCTTTTATCCATACATTTTTACGCATGGGTGGTCCCAGGGATCGAACCCACTACCCTGGCATTACAAGCGCCATGCTCTACCAATTGAGCTACAGAGGACCACTAATTGACATCATCTGAGTCAATTGGAGGTGTACCTGTGGATGTATTTCAAGGCCTACCTTCAAACTCAGTGCCTCTTTGCTTGACATCATGGGAAAATCAAAAGAAATCAGCCAAGACCTCAGAAACAAAATTGTACACCTCCACAAGTCTGGTTCATCTATGGGAGCAATTTCCAAACGCCTGAAGGTACCACGTTCATCTGTACAAACAATAGTACGCAAGTATAAACACCATGGGACCACGCAGCTGTCATACCGCTCAGGAAGGAGACACGTTCTGTCTCCTAGAGATGAACGTACTTTGGTGCGAAAAGTGCAAATCAATCCCAGAACAACAGCAAAGGACCTTGTGAAGATGCTGGAGGAAACGGGTACAAAAGTATCTATATCCACAGTAAAACAAGTCCTATATCGACATAACCTGAAAGGCCGCTCAGCAAGGAAGAAGCCACTGCTCTAAAACCGCCATTAAAAAGCAAGACTAAGGTTTGCAACTGCACATGGGGACAAAGATCATACTTTTTGGAGAAATGTCCTCTGGTCTGATGAAACAAAAATAGAACTGTTTGGCCATAATGACCATTGTTATGTTTGGAGGAAAAAGGGGAGCTTGCATGCCAAAGAACACCATCCCCACCGTGAAGCACGGGGGTGGCAGTATCATGCTGTTTGGGTGCTTTGCTGCAGGAGGGACTGGTGCACTTCACAAAATAGATGGCATCATGAGGAAGGAAAATTATGTGGATATATTGAAGCAACATCTCAAGACATCAGTCAGGAAGTTGAAGCTTGGTCGCAAATGGGTCTTCCAAATGGACAATGACCCCAAGCATACTTCCAAAGTTGTGGCAAAATGGCTTAAGGACAACAAAGTCAAGGTATTGGAGTGGCCATCACAAAGCCCTGACCTCAATCCTATAGAACATTTGTGGGCAGAACTGATAAAGCGTGTGCGAGCAAGGAGGCCTACAAACCTGACTCAGTTACACCAGCTTTGTCAGGAGGAATGGGCCAAAATTAACCCAACTTATTGTGGGAAGCTTTTGGAAGGCTACCCGAAACATTTGACCCAAGTTAAACAATTTAAAGGCAATGCTACCAAATACTAATTGAGTGTATGTAAACTTCTGACCCACTGGGAATGTGATGAAAGAAATAAAAGCTGAAATTAATCATTCTCTGTACTATTATTCTGACATTTCACATTCTTAAAATAAAGTGGTGATCCTAACTGACCTAAGACAGGGAATTTTTACTAGGAGTAAATGCCAGGAATTGTGAAAAACTGAGTTTAAATGTATTTGGCTAAGGTGTATGTAAACTCCCGACTTCAACTGTATGTATATAGTTGAGGTCAAATATATTGGCACCCTTGTGTTCACACAAGTATTTGTTTGATTTACAATTGCACAGGACCAAATATAAATAAAATGTTAACTAAAATTGAGATTTTTCACTTAAGTCAAAAAAAATGCCTGGATCATATATAATTTGGTTGGAGGCATTTATGTGTAATTTATCTTACCTGTGGTAAGTTGCAAGTGCCTACAGGGTAAAAATATCCATTCAACCAGTTTAGAAAAGAGAAAACATAATTCTGCTCCTTTGTACTCCATTATAAAGTGCAAGTGTGCCAATATATTTGACTAACTTTACATAGATTATTAACTCTGCTTGTACATTATAGTTAAATCAAAAAAATACACAAGCCAAAGATACACAAATACCATGCAGCGCTAAGGAAGGACCAAAAACACCTGCAGTGTGGAGTTTAGAAACGGGGACGAGGCGTCCGATGCTGAGGGGTCTGTTTCCATACGGGTCACGGATAGCATAGATCACATCTGTGTACATCACCAGCAGTGAGTAGGATGTAGGGGTCTCATGCATCAGGTTCTTTATCCTGCAGTGGAGAATAAACAATCAATCAAGATGAGCTTTACAGGGGGTAAAAGAGATGGGGCATTATTGGAATGGAATAGAAGGCCATAGAACGGACCTGGCCACCCAGTCAGGGGCATCCAGCTCCTCCATGGGCGGAGTCAGAGCCAGCAGCTGGGTGATGAGCTCACTGTCTGAGCTGGTGGAGAGGCCCACGCCGTGACGCATCACCTGCCATACACACACAGTTATGTATGCTTATACACAAATACACAATAATCAACTACAATATAAACAAATGCACACAGTCATTGGATATGACAGCATGGCCCACCTTCTTACGCAGTGCAGCTGCGTTGACCAGTTCCCCGTTGTGTGCCACAGCTATCTTGCCGTGCAGTGTGTCCACCACAAAGGGCTGGCAGTTCTGCAGCTCAGAGATGCCCGTGGTGGAGTAGCGTGTGTGCCCGATGCCCAGGTTACCATAGCGCAGCTTCAGAAGGTCCTCAGGTGGAAAGGCATTGTTCACTAACCCCATCCCCTGTGAAGGGAAGTGACATACCAAATCAGAACAATAACACACATGTAGCCTAAATGTGATTAGTAAAGCTTTAACGTGATGATATAACTGCTGTCTTATTTCTGTACATCATGTTCCCTCCCCATCTGAGACTTTTGTTAATGTGTTAATGTGTTTTTGGGGAGGGGTGGTGGTATTGTGTTTAGTTTGAGGACACTGATGTTGAGTGAGTCAGAGGACACGTTGAGTAATCATCATTATCTGGAATGAGTGTGATGATAGCCATGTTTCTCTTTCATGTTTTCGTACTGAATGGTTCTGTATGTCACACATTTTTACCTTGAGGGTGTTGTACGTTGGTGGGTTGACTCCATTACTTGTGACGATTCCGGCACTTTCCTGACCCCTAAATAAACAAAGACAAATAAATTGCTTGAATAACATTTAGGTTCTACACTTCAGCCAATTTGCTTGATGCAACATGTTTGAGGCTAGCTTTTCTGTATGTATACTGCCTTAGGGCAGACTTAACCGGTTTGGTAAAAGAGAAGTGTTGTAGACTGAGGGGAAAAATGATGGGCTATGTGTCTCTGCAGTGGAGTTGCCTTATATGGAGTGGCCTTGTGCTGCAGCCTCAGCCGATTTGCCAAGCTGCTTCTCGGATTACAGTCTGTCCCTCCCCCACACCACACAGCTTAAGCCAGTAGTGAGGCTGCTTTGATTCGGTGGGCGTTCCTCTTGGCTTAACCGCCTGGTTGCCTAGGGAACCAGGCACCAGAGGAAGGGGGGCTGGGAGAGAAAGAAGCGTTTCCAGGTCAGCTCAAACATGGAGAAAGGAGCTGGGAGACAAAGAGGAGGTGAAGAGGAAGAGATTGTAGAGGTAGAGGAGACCGGTGCAGCAGGGCAGTGGGGGGAAGCGGAGGTGCTGGCTCTTCTGTCAGTGTGGGGGGAGCTGGGAGCAGCTCAGCATTCAGGTGTATGCAGCAGAGCCACATTTGAATGCATATCAGAGCAGCTGAAAGGGTTGAATGTGCTGCATGGCTGGAGGGAGTGCCAGGCCCAGTGCAGGAGGCTGGGACTGCTGGGCAGGAAGGCTGAACAGCCAGGCACATCCACCAACTACAGGCAGGGGGCAGCAGCCATGATGGACGCCCAAATGAATCAAAGTGATTGGGAGGAAAAGGAGGATCTGACCAGTGAGAAAGAGGCTCACTCTTCCTCAGTCACAATACAGGAAGGTAACTGGGAGTTACAGGAACAGTGTACTGGCTGAGAAGTTGTTTAGTATACACAGCAGTAGTTTAATTAAAATAATCTTTGAGGTATCCCTCATTTAGATAAGAGGCCGCTTCATGACCAAGATGTTGACTCAGACATAACTGGAGTCACATACCATTAGCCTAGAAAAAGGGTTAAACTGAATCTAAATAAACCAGAGTATCAGTAACAGACAATATCAAAAATGGATCCCTTGATTGACATCCTTTAAAAATGTGTGTGTTTGTTAAGGAGGCCCGTGTCAGATTCTTCGCGGGGCTCTCCCATATGCCCAATACTTGGGCCCTGAGGGGGGCCGCCATTGGACAGATGAGGAGGTGCGAGCTCTGTTGTGTGTCTGGTCTGACCGCCACATCCGCCAACGCCTCAAAGGAACGCTACGCAACAAGGCCATCTTCCAGGAGATGGCCCGCCGCATGCAGAGAGGCTTCGGAGTGGTGCGCAACTGGAAACAATGCCGCACTAAATACAAGAACCTCAAGTATGAGTACAAGACAGCCAAGAGCGCACAGGCCGCTGCAGGGAGCAGTGGCCCAGGAAGGTACATTAAGTTCTTTGATGAGGTAGAGGCCATAGTGCTGGACAGGGGAGAGGATGGGGACCAGGATATGCAGAGAGGACCTGAAGGGGACCAGGGAGCTGGGAAGCTGGGACATCCGGAAGGCCAGACTCAGTCTAAAGAACCCAAAGGAGACCTGGTCATTGAGATAGACCATGGTGAGGTTTTCATTTTTTTTAAATACTACAAGTTTACAGATGGTGATGAGATACTGAATGAATACATTGCCTAGTCCTACTTTTAAAACTTCTAGAACAATGCATCTTTCAGATGACAATAGTGACGATTATGAGCTGGACACAGACCAAAACCAAAGGGAATCAGGTATGTGAATTCAAATAACCTACAGCAGAAAAGCCTTCTGAAATGCTGTGCAGTACATGGGCTTGGCATGATTGCTTATGCTCACTCTCTTCTGCATTCTGTCTCCCATCCTAGGAGCCCATCTATCACCATTGAATCAATCTAGCTCCGAGCAATTCCATGTGGTAACGGTGTCCGACACAGGACGGAACTGGAGTGACCAGGAGGTGCGTGCTCTGATCCAGGTGTGGTCTGAGGAGGGCGTGTGCAGGCAGCTGGAGAGCTCCACCAGGAAGAGGGACATCTTTGTGCAGATCTCCCGCCGGCTACTGCAGCAGGGGGTGGAGCGCGACTGGAAGCAGTGTCACACCAAATACAAGAACCTCAAGTACCTGTATCGCTCCCTACAGAGGGGCAGGGCTGACAGCACAGACCCACGTCGTCTTATGAGGTTCTATGACGAGGTGGATGCCATTTTGACCAGGTCAGATAGTGGACCTGCCATAGGATATGAGAAACAAGCAGAGGCTGGCCCCATTTTGGCCGGGGCCATGATTAGGTATGAGGATGACACAGATGCCATGACTCATCCAGTTAACTCTTACACAGCTCAAATCTATGAACTTATCCCCAGGAATGAGGACAAACAAACACACACAGGTAAGAAAGTGACTCCGATAGCCATTGTAGATCAACCTAAGGTCACTCCAAATCATTTAGTGGTGACCATGTAAACATTTTTATCAAACACCGCAACGCAAGCCATTACATCTTCAGACATATCCCACATCTATTTTGTTGCCTATAAACAAGCTAATTTATAACATCAAAAATAAAACCCATTGGCCCCAAAGCTGGTAGTTGGAGCCAGTAGAACCTGGTGGAGGAAAATAGGTTCTGATATTGTGCATTAACAGTGATGTCATGCCTCTGTGTTCCTTACAGACAATGCTGAGACCGATAAAAGACAGGATCTGACTGCAAAAAGAGGGCTGAAAAGGAAAGCGTTGGATCAAGGTTTGAAATTGTACCTCCTCCCTCAACAATTTTGTCTCATCTCGTTTTAAAATCCACACGCGACCAAAGGCTCAGTAACAGACTAATGATGGACGGTGTGAGTCAGTCCTGTGACTTACTAATAAGACTCCTAATCTAATCATGGGAGAGTGGGTTAGTGAGAGGAATCAGGAAACTGCTGAGAATGGGCAAAAACACCAGCCTTCTTTACAAAACCGCAATTTGGATTCCGTGTATCCATGTGCTCAAAACGCAGAACAGTGTTATCAGTAAACTGAAGATTGCAATCTGCCCATTCTTTAGTATACATTTTGAAATATTCTCTCAGAACACATCAGCACAATCAACTTGAGAGGACCAAGGTCAAGAATCTGTGCAGGATAGCGTATTTTGTACATCATGTGTCTCAGACTTCTACACTTAGTAAAAAGTGATTGATTAATCAATGATGAAGGCATTTAACCTCAACTCAATCTCTGATGTATTAGTCCTCTTGAATCCTTGTTTTCTTTAGATACCTGTAGAATTGTGAAGAGACATGATACTGGGGGCAGCTGTGCTGAGAGTATTGACTTCCAGTGCAAATTGGAGGAGGACCAATACATTCCCATTATAGAGATCAACTCAGTCTGCTCAATGGCAGCCTCTGTCTCAGCCCGACAAAAACAGGTAGGCCTAATCAACTCCGAATGTTAAAAATGATGTTAACATCATTGTAACCAATTGACTGTTGTATACAATAGGAGTCTGAAAGTTTACGAAAGACATTGAGTTGAGTCTGCATTGGAGAAATGTAGCAGTCTGGAATCCAAGGACGTCCAGAGATCTCTATACTTTCACCGGAAACAATGTAACACTTGTAGCAAAGCCATGCTCGTGGAACGTTTGACGTCACACCTCCATGTTGTTTTGAGACATTGCCCACTACAATGCATTTTTTAAGTGATTAAAGTTGTAAGCATTATAGCAGTGTAGCTAATTAATGATGGGCAAGATAGTGGGCATTTGTGATTAGCGGATGACTATACAAAAGTTTCAAGGACCCTATATACATTTGCTCGCTAGAAAACATAAACTCACCTATGTTGTAGCGCCACAAGTCCCAAAGTTAACACTTGGGCAACTTCTAGTTGTGTTGGCCATTCTCCTGCTGCAACACATCCGAAAACTCCGCACTCTTCTCCGATGCCAGATTCTTCGAACTCGCTCATTCTTCAATCCCTGGGCTTCCCGTGCTTGTCTACTTCACACTGCGTGTATCTCCACGCACAAACACTAGCCACGTGTTGACAACAGAGCTACCGCTACACGAACTGGCTCAACCTACAGGGATACAAAATGGGGTACTTCATTGACATCCCCTGACAACAGACGGAATACTGCGTATCAAATTGCGAAAGTAGTACAGACTCAAATATCGATTAGGACTTTGACTGAGAACCGATATGCAATCATTCACCCTGTTTTTTGGTGATAAAGTTCAATTATATTTATTTTTAAGTATTCAATAGATACTAAGTAAAAACCAAAGACACTTATCTTACAACTATGCCCGTGTTTCGCTGATATATTGAGATGAGCAGCAGCCAAAAAAAAACGTTTTCCCCCACGTGTTGAGGCCTACATTACTATAATTGGTTATTCCTGAATCGATGCTGAGTTGTAATTGGCTTTTCTGGATTCTGGAAGTCAGTCGTGACTCCTGAAGCGCATTCCACTTTCTGCACTGAATTCTCCACGAGTTGCAGGTAAAGTCGCGAGAATTCTAGATGAAACTAATATATTTTTGGTGTACATTTCCCACACTGTTGATTTCATCTAACTTTACTTGCTTTATTTTTCAGGGTTTCAGATTATCTACCAACATGGCGCCTGCATCAGGTATGGTTTCATTTTTCTTCAGTTTCAAACTGCATGAAGTCAGATTGATAGTCGAAGTGACAATATAATTTGATTCCACTGTAAACCCGCGTTTCCCGTAAATAAGTGTTTCAGCGTCGATTTAGGGTGGCTCACTGGTGTTTTTCTGCTTTCTGTTGTTGTTGTTAAAGAGCTGAAACTTGGACAGAAACTAAATGAGGGCAAGACCAAGCAGATCTTCGAGCTCGCGGATGAGCCAGGCCATGTTCTGGTCCAGTCGAAGGATCAAATCACAGCCGGGAATGCGGTGAGGAAGGACCAGATGGAGGGAAAGGCCGCGATAGCAAACAGAACCACGAGCTGTGTTTTCAAGCTGCTGCAGGAAGCGGGTGGGTCTTCTGGCTACACTGTTTTCAATTATCATTCATGATTGTGGTTAGTTAATGCTAATGTTTCGTTTGGTTATGTGTGGGTGAGTGTGATAACTAGTTTAGATGTGTCCTCCCCATACAGCCATATTCGTAATGTTCTGTTATCAATTTTAAAGCTTTATGGTTCTGTGAGAAATCTATATTGTCTGACCCTGGGTCAGTAAAGTGTGCAAACGTTCATGAATGCATTTGTCCACAGGCTAGAATTCAATCAAACAGCTATGATTAGTGAGTGTTGTTCTGTCTATAACTGACCACCGTGGGCAGCTGTCCTGTGTATCCAGGTCATGTTGCATTCCTGTATTTTGACCTTGAGATCACAGTAGTCCATTATTAAACACTCCCTTTTAAGAAATTACTCTCCATATTGCAGCAATTTGAAAATAAATGGGGGTAAGTGCATCCCATGTGTCCCTCATGATGTAAGCCAAACTGTGGAAATTCATTCCTTGTGACTCGGAACATGCTTTTTTAAATCAAACCGAATGTGACCCACCCCAGCCCCCTTTCCTCACCATCATCTAAGACAATGGCTTCCCTGATTGACTGATAATTGGCTTCCTTCATAGCTGAAGTAGTGCTGCTGTTTAATCACCGATGGCTGAGTAAGTCCTCGTGGTGTTCTTTTTATACCTCAGGCATCAAGACAGCCTTTGTGAGGCAGCAGTCGGAGACGGCGTTCGTGGCGGTCCACTGTGAGATGATCCCCATCGAGTGGGTCTGTCGCAGGGTGGCCACCGGATCCTTCCTCAAGAGGAACCCTGGCGTCAAGGAGGGCTACAGGTTCTCCCCTCTGAAAATGGAGATGTTCTTCAAGGTGTTTGTGTATATTTGTATCTGTCCAATCATGCCCAGTAGAAAAAGTGGATTTATCCTCTCTTTGATAATCCAATCTACCTGCCTAATTTGTACACATTCATTTTCCACTCGTGAAAACATTGAAAGTTAGGTACATCATCCATCAGCAACTCATCCACCTTCATACAAATATTGCCATGTTCTACAGTTTACATCAATGTCTGAAATCTTGGTCACTATTTGTTTGTCTCAGGATGACGCCAACAATGACCCTCAGTGGTCAGAGGAGCAGCTGCTGGAGACTAAGTTCTCTCTGGCTGGGCTCACCATCGGCCGCTGTGAGGTGGACATCATGAACCGCAGCACTGTGGCCATCTTTGAGGTTCTGGAGAGGGCCTGGGCCACCCAGAACTGCACGCTGGTGGATATGAAGGTATGTGGCTCAGCGCCACCCTCAGATGGTCAGGGGAGGTAACAAAGTGGACCATGTTTTGTTCTTAGTTAGTTCTGAAAGTTATGAACCCATTATGGGGCCTTTTAACATGCATTCCTTTGACTGTTTGTTGACAGATTGAGTTTGGTGTGAATGTGAGCACCAAAGAGATTGTGCTTGCTGACGTGATTGACAATGATTCCTGGAGGCTGTGGCCAGCAGGAGATCGGAGTCAGCAGAAAGACAAACAGGTGAGATGATCTCCTGCATAGCTCTGTCCAATGCTCCTATCCTGCCATCCCTTTATGGAAAAATGCTAATGTTGCCATTATTTAACCACCTCAGATTTTGAGTTACACCACGTTAGCTGTAGTGTAAACCTGTGTGCTCTCCTCTCCTTTGCAGGTGTACCGGGACCTGAAGGAGGTGACTCCTGAAGCCATGCAGATGGTGAAGAAGAACTTTGAGTGGGTCTCTGAAAGAGTGAAGGTAGGCTAGCCTTGTGTATCCCACTAGTCCTGTGCTCTTTAGCCTAAAATAGCAAGAGCCGACTAGCTGTGACTCTTATCAGGAGGACAGCCACTAGTTTGTATTGAATCAACATACCATAATGATAGAGGATCGTGTAGTTTAACATTAAATTATCTGTTGATTGAGCAATTTTCCATTGTTATAACCTAGACATGATGGGATTCTCACGTGAATCCCAGCATTTTAAAATAGCTCAACATTTTGTGACCAGTCTTTGATCAACTCTAGTAATCTCAGAAATGCATACTCCCTCACATCCTCTGTCAACTTAACCCAGTTTGTTTTAATCTGTCACATGACACACACAGAGACACGGTACAAGTACAGCCCATAGTGAAATAGTTTAGGCCGGGCATTCAGTGGAGGCTGACGGGGTGTCTGTGTGTCCCTAGCTTCTGCTGGAGCCCAAGGCCAGTGGCAGAGTGGTGGTTCTGATGGGCTCCACCTCTGACCTGGCCCACTGTGAGAAGATCAGGAAGGCCTGTGGCTCCTACGGAATTTCCTGTGTCCTCCGAGTCACCTCTGCACACAAAGGACCAGACGAGACTCTTCACATCAAAGCTGAATACGAAGGTGGGCTGAACTCAGCCTTATAGCCCTAACCTTACTGTTAACCCCTAAAAACATAGCTACCCCTCTCTACATAGATTGTACAAGACATTGCTTGCTTATGTTTATTAAAAGTGGAAGATTGTGGTACATACATTTGGAATAATGGCTCGGTATGTGGAGCCTCCTGTAGCTCAGTTGGTAGAGCATGGCACTTGCAACGCCAGGGTTGTGGGTTCGATTCCCATGGGGGGCCAGTATGAAAAATGTATGCACTCACTAACTGTACGTCGCTCTGGATAAGAGCATCTGCTAAATGACTAAAATGTAAAAAAAATTAGTAACTGCGCAGTATACTGGCTAACATTATAACACCTATCTAATATAACATTTTATAAATCATGATTTGGCTCTTCTGTATGGATGGGCTAATATGCAGTATTTTCCCAGGGGATGGAGTACCGACTGTGTTTGTGGCTGTGGCGGGCAGAAGCAACGGCCTTGGTCCAGTGATGTCAGGAAACACCGCCTACCCAGTCATCAATTGCCCTCCTATCACCCCTGACTGGGGGGCACAGGACATCTGGTCATCCCTTCGCATGCCAAGTGGTGAGTACATCCCTCCATGCGGTCTGTCTTGCTGTGTGTGTACAGTACTGTATGGTAATTATCCCGGAAATGAATCTGTGTGTTTACCCTAACCCTGATTGCTCCTCTCTCCCACAGGTCTTGGCTGCTCCACAGTCCTCTCCCCTGATGCTGCAGCCCAGTTTGCAGCTCAGATCTTTGGGCTCAGTGACCACCTGGTGTGGTCCAAACTGCGGGCCTCCATGCTCAACACCTGGGTGTCTCTGAAGCAGGCTGACAAGAAGCTGCAGGCCTGCAGCCTGTGAGGAGCCCCCTGTACTGTACCATTTCAGACCCTGCCAGGCCTCTCCAAGATGGGCACTGTGAAGGGTCACTGCCTTGCCGTGTGTTATGTCTAATGAAATGTTTACCAACTGTAAAATCAGCCCTACAACACATTTCTCTAATCATTCCCTTAATAAAGTGATTCATATGTATAAACATCTGTGTTTTAGATTACTATGTTTTTCTATTTCATTTACAGTATACACTACATGACCAAAAGTATGTGGACACCTGCTCGTCGAACATCTCATTCCAAAATCATGGGCATTAATATGGAGTTGGTCCCCCCCCCTTTTGCTGCTATAACAGCCTCCACTCTTCTGGGAATGCTTTCCACTAGATGTTGGAACATTGCTGCAGGGACTTGCTTCCACTCAGCCATGAGCATTAGTGAGGTCAGGCAATGATGTTGGGCGATTAGGCCTGGCTCGCAGTCGGCGTTCCAATTAATCCCAAAGGTGTTTGATGGATTTGAGGTCAGGGCTCTGCAGGCCAGTCAAGTTCTTCCACACCGATCTCAACAAACCATTTCTGTATGGACCTCACTTTGTGCACGGGGGCATTGTCATGCTGAAACAGGAAAGGACCTTCCCCAAACTATTGCCACAAAGTTGGAAGTACAGAATCGTCTAGAATGTCATTGTATGCTGTAGCATTAAGATTTCCCTTCACTGGAACTAAGGGACCTAGCCCAAACCATGAAAAACAACCCCAGACCATTATCCCTCCTCCACCAAACTTTACAGTTGGCACTATACATTGGGCAGGTAGCGTTCTCCTGGCATCTGCCAAACCCAGATTTGTCCGTCGGACTGCCAGATGGTGAAGTGTGATTCATCACTTCGGAGAACGCATTTCCATTGCTCCAGAGTCCAATAGCGGCGAGCTTTACACCACTCCAGCAGACGCTTGGCATTGCACGTGGTGATCTTATGCTTGTGTGGGTTGCTTGGCCATGGAAACCCATTTCATGAAGCTCCCTATGAACATTTATTGTGCTGATGTTGCTTCCAGATGCAGTTTGGAACTCTGTAGTGAGTGTTGCAACTGAGGACGGCCAATTTTTTTTTTTTACGCGCTTCAGCACTCGGCAGTCCTGTTCTGTGAGCTTGTGTGGCCTGCCACTTAGCGGCTGCTCCTAGACGTTTCCACTTCACAATAACAGCACTTACAGTTGACCTGGGTAGCTCTAGCAGGGCAGAAATTTTACGAACTGACTTGTTGGAAAGGTGGCATCCTATAACTGTGTCCATGTTGAAAATCACTGAGCTCTTCAGTAAAGCCAGTCTACTGCCACTGTTTGTCTATGGAGATTGCATGGCTGTGTGCTCGATTTTATACACCTGTCAGCAACAGGTGTGGCTGAAATAGCAGAATCCACTCATTTGAAGGGGTGTCCACATATTTTTGTATATATAGTAAGTATTTTGAAAGTTTGGTAATGTTTAGCAATAATATATTTCATGTTGGACATTATTATGGAGTAACACATTTAAAACAAACCAATGTTAGCTTTTATAAATGACACAGTAAGGTTTCCTCAAATTTTATTAGCAAGACTTCCAAGTGGTGATAAAATCACAGACAGAATGCAAGATCATCTTGATATTTTTAAAAACATAGGCTTTAGGCAAATCTCTGGCTTGGATTCCAGAATATATATTATGTTTAAGATTTCTGTACTCCCCTTTCTTCTGTGGGTTTAATGTCAGTACCTTCGTTCTTATCATAATATGTGATTATAGGCTTGTGATTTATTTCCTGTTCATCCACCCAGATCGCACCTGACTTGGCATACTTGATGGAACGGTTGGAGGTGATGATGAAGGATTTAGGCTGGCCAATGGAATTAGCCGCCTTGTAGTTTGCGAAGAGAAGATTTTTGCCTTCGTACGCAGTGACATACATGGTTTCGAAGCCAGGGCAGGTGATGTAATCTCTCGCTGGGATGATTTGGGTGCAAATTTCTTTATCGCGAATGAAGTTCAACGTTGCTTCTCCTGTAGCTTTGACATGGGTGTCCGTAGTCCCTACACAGACTTCTCCACCAATGGCCACAGTGATGTCTTGGAGTTTCAACTCTGAATTTTTGTAGAAAATCTGAATGTTGTAACTTGTTGCATTGGCAATGTGGGTTCCTTTATTTCCCATTGCTGCAGCTGTGAGAAACAGAATAATTATTTTATGAACCGTACACTAAAGAAAATGTGATTTTTGTGATCTGTGAACTTACACTTTTAAACCATTGTCATCAAGTATTCAAATGTAAAAAGCAGATAAATAGAGAGGGTGAATGGGACAGAGAAGATTCATAAAGATAACACATCTGGATGAATAAGACAATTAGAAGAAGACTACTCGCCTGGTTGGATTCAGAATCTGATGGTGAACTGAAGAGGTTGTTAGATGAGAATCTGATGGATAACTGAAGAGGTGGTTCGGAGTGTGGCTCAGGAGCAATACCTACCTAGACACATCACTGGGTTTATATAGATCACGTTCTTCCTCCTTTACTCTTTCTATCAGATTCTTGAGAAACAAGAAGTCCTGTCATGTCCTGATAAGGATAAAATCGTATGCTGTTCTTCATCATCATATGACTCTGATGAAAAAATTGTCATCAGTTGTTGTTACCTGTGTGGAGTGGTCCATTTGAGATAAAACATACATTTGGAAGTGGAAATCACTTTACATGATAAGATGTGAGTGCAATTTGACATTTATCTGAATTGACTGTAAAGTTTATGACAACTGGGCAGTTATTTTCAGTTGTGTGGGCAGTTGGGCAGTGACTTTTTTGTCAAGTGACTGAATTTCTTGCTTGAAGACTTGCAGCATGTACAACGGTTAGATGATAAACTGTCTTTGAAGAAACTAATAGACTAATAAACTAATTATTTTTTTGTTCTTTTTGGGGGCGAGGCGGGGGAGATTCAGCAACACTTGGAGAACAATGGAATTAAATACAAAAGCTTATTGCCAAAAGTAGAACCAATGCGGCAGTGACCCTTCCCTCATAGTACATTAAGAAAATACTTGTACAAGCCACCTTCCTACCCATAATTGACTATGGCAATGTAATGTGTTGTACAGTCACATCCAAAATTATTGGCACCCTTGATAAAGCAAAAACACTGTATAAAATAGATAATACAAATGCTGAGCTATATTGTATGCTCAAAAAATGACAAAATAATAAAATGTTATATTAATACAATTGCTCAGAGAAAAATAGTAATAAAAACAAATCTCTAAAAGATACGTGTCAAAATTATTGGCACCCCTGTTTTCAATACTTTGTGCACCCTCCCCTTGCGAGGATCACAGCACTTTAAACCACAAGTCTTCAATGGAGTTCAAGTCCAGAAACTGACATGGCCATTGCAAAATGTTGATTTTGTGGTCAATGAACCATTCCCTTGTGGATTTTGATGTGTGCTTGGGGTCATTGTCTTCCTGGAAGATCCACCTAAAACCTAGTTTCAGCCTCCTGGCAGAGGCAACCAGGTTTTTGGCTAAAATGTCCCAATACTTGGTATAGTTCATGATTGTTTAGTTCATTTCATTCCGATCTCCTCTGCATTATTGTAGCCATCTGCTGCAGCCTGTCAACTATGCCTCTGCCTATCCCTGTTCTCTCCTCTCCGCACAGGCTACACAAACGCCTCACACCGCGTGGCTGCTGCCTCTCTAACCTGGTGGTCCCTGCACGCACCACACACCTGGAGTTCCAGGTCTCAGGCAGCCTCTGGAACTGCCGTTCTGCCGCCAACAAGGCTGACTTCATCCCAGCCTATGCTACCCTCCAGTCCCTCGACTTCCTGGCGCTGACGGAAACATGGATTACCACTGAAAACACAGCTACTCCTACTGCTCTCTCCTCGTCTGACCATGTGTTCTCGCATACCCTGAGAGCATCTGGTCAGAGGGGTGGTGGCACAGGAATCCTCATCTCTCCCAAGTGGTCATTCTCAATTTTTCCCCTAACCCATCTGTCTATCTCCTCATTTGAATTCCACGCTGTCACAGTCACTAGCCCATTTAAGCTTAATATCCTTGTCATCTATCGCCCTCCAGGTTCCCTTGGAGAGTTCATCAATGAGCTTGACGCCTTGATAAATTCCTTTCCTGAGGATGGCTCACCCTTCACAGTTTTGGGGGATTTCAACCTCCCCACGTCTACATTTGACTCATTTCTCTCTGCCTCCTTCTTTCCACTCCTCTCCTCTTTTGACCTCACCCTCTCACCATCCCCCCCCCCCCCCACTCACAAGGCAGGCAATACGCTTGACTTCATCTTTACTAGATGTTGCTCTTCTACTAATCTCACTGCAACTCCCCTCCATGTCTCCGACCACTACTTTGTATCCTTTTCTCTCTCGCTCTCCTCCAACACTACTCACTCTGCCCCTACACAGATGGTAACGCGCCACCGCAACCTTCGCTCTCTCTCTCCCGCTACTCTCTCCTCTTCCATCCTATCATCTCTTCCCTCTGCTCAATCCTTCTCCCTCCAATCTCCTGATTCTGCCTCCTCAACCCTCCTCTCCTCCCTTTCTGCATCCTTTGACTCTCTGTGTCCCCTATCCTCCCGGCCGGCTCGGTCCTCCCCTCCAGCTCTGTGGCTTGATGACTCATTGCGAGCTCACAGAACAGAGCTCCGGGCAGCTGAGCGGAAATGGAAGAAAACTAAACTCCCTGCCGACCTGGCATCTTTTCACTCCCTCCTCTCTACATTTTCTTCATCTGTTTCTGCTGCTAAGGCCACTTTCTACCACTCTAAATTCCAAGCATCTGCCTCTAACCCTAGGAAGCTCTTTGCCACATTCTCCTCACTGCTGAATCCCCCCCCCCCCCCCCCCCCCCTCCCTCTCTGTGGATGACTTTGTCAACCACTTTGAAAAGAAGGTTGACGACATCCGATCCTCGTTTGTTAAGTCTAATGACACTGCTGGTCCTGCTCACACTGCCCTACCCTATG